GCATTCGCATTTACTACCAGGGGTCTACGCGAAGAGACCGCTGTGTGAGATGCTGACACCCGAGAATATCCAGATCCCCGTCACTTTCCTTTACGGCGGTGGACCCGATTGGATGAGCTCCAGTCACGGCAAGAAAGTAGCTGAGACGTTAGATGGGGTGAAAGTCGTGCTGGTTCCCGGAGCGGGTCACCAGCTCTTCATGGACAACGCTCCAGCTTTCAATGAGGTTGTGCTTGCGGCTCTCGCAAGAGCCATTTAGTTAGTGCCACATAATCATTGTGGCGCGTAATCCGCCATCAAAAACTATCATGTCACATGCGTTATGCTATCCTGAAGTGTTTACTTGTCTTTCACGGGAATGTAGGTCATGCAACCCGCGCATCACTCGTCCTCGGACCGCATAACTGTTTTAACCTTAAGCATCACCAGCCTCTAATGCTTCGAATGCTGCGCCCCATCGCCGCCACAACAGGTACGCGCTTGCTGAGCAGCTGAATTATTGCATGTTTAGGTAACTGAGATGTCAATGCTGAAGCGGTACTGCTTGCCGCAGGTGTTGCAACCGAGGGACGACTTTGGCAATGGGTCCCTGCAAGATACTCCAAACTTGAGGAGGCAGAGCGCAAGATTTTCACACGCGCTATCTCGACGCCATTCGAGATGAAGAAAGTCGCACAGTTGGGCACCGTGGTGGTGCCCTGCTCCGACGAAAAGAAGCGCGAGAGTGCCAAAAACCTTGTTCTGGTCCACGGGTTCGCTGGCGGTAACGCGGTGTGGGCGATGGTAAGCTCACTGCTACAATGATATTATTGCATGATTGGATTTGCTGAAGTGAATTGTGGCACAATAGAACTTAGAGAAATTGTCCAAGCACTTCAATGTGGTATGTAGAGAAGCCTGAGCCTTCAACTGAGTTTGAGAAATAACTCTGTTTGTGCGATATTTATTAATGACAGTACGCAGTGGAATGGATTGGTGTCGGCCGGTCGGATCGCCCTGACTTCAATTTCAATGACGTAAGGCATCTGGTCACCCATTGATCATTTAAGCATTCGGGTACTCAACTAAATGTGAGTTTCACTCATTTGCTTGCTTTGTAGTATGAAAGTGCCGATGATTTCATCGTTGGCTCATTCGAGAAGTGGCAAAAGGAGATCAAGCTTGAAAATTTTGATTTGGTCGGCCACTCAATGGGGGTGAGACGTGCTATCAAGCTTGCCTTGGCCAATCCAAATTCTTGACACTATCTTATGTGCTCTAGGCTATCTTCGCATCCTCATACGCATTGAAGCACCCTGACCAAGTCAACGTAAGTAGAGTCAATATTTCGTGCACATTTTCGTTTGTACCCACTAACGAAGGTTATTACTTCGTTCGATGCTACAGCACCTCGTGTTGGCATCTCCAGCAGGTGTGCCACACCCACCACCACCTCCGGATCCGACGACGGAGGAAGGACGAGCTGCTAGTCGCTCATGGCTGAGACGCATGGTCTTCTCGGCGTGGGAGAACGGTGTGACACCGATGTCTCTCGCTCGATTTGTGGGACCGTATGGACCAAAGCTGGTGCAAAACGTGGTGCACCGCCGAACCTCATTCATGTCGGAGGGAAGCGCCATGCGAGACGGTCGTGTCGACTTGAACGAGATGGCGGAGTACATGTACCACAACTGGGCCCTCAAACCGAGCGGAGAACGCGTCATGACCACGCATCTTGCTCCTGGAGCGCATGCGGTTCGTCCACTCGTGAGCTCGCTGCTTCCCGAAAGTGTGAAGATGCCGCTTACGTTCATCTACGGTGAATACGATTGGATGGACTACCGCAATGGACTGAGTATCGTGGACAGCTTCAAGCAGAAGGGCCGCTCTGCTGATCTCTTCCGTGTGCCGAACGGAGGCCATCAAATGTTCATGGAGAATCCCGACGAGTTCAGCCGAATTCTCATCGACCGCCTGGCAAGACAAATACTAGTACAACACTAGCAGCAAGATAGCACGAGGTAATTTAGTACAGTTCTACAGTAACTTTGACAAATACTTGTAGACTTTACTCAGCTATTCACTGTTTCCAGTCTCTACGATTGATTCTTCAGACGCCCTTTGAAGATCATGATGTCGCCTCCTTCCTGGAAGTCCGGGTGTAGCTCCGATCGGTCAATCGGTTCGACTTTAAATACCTTTTCAAACGCTTCGAAGAATTTTTCTTCCGTGTTTTGACGCTTTTTGTAGGCAAGCAGAATTAGTGTCTTGGGTCCAGCCATTTGTTGCAGCGACACCATCAGTGATTCAAAGGCCGAGGCGTACGGACAAGCCACGATATCTGCTCCAAGAATCACGTCGTATTTGGCGTTGCTGCTCACAAGGTGATGCTCCAAGTCACCCCAGAGATATTCCTCAGCAGTGCACACATCTTCCGAAAGATCGTTTGCCTTGATATTGCGCTGTGTGAGTGCAACCGATGCAGAATCTCCATCAGTAATGACGATACTCTTTGGTTCCAGGTGAGCAGCAACGACGCCGACAAGTCCTGGACCACATCCCAGTTCGATGACTCGACCCCCCTTTATTAGATCTGGATGAGATGCTAGATACAGTGATAATGCAATGGCTGCATCGTATACCGAAGCTCCGAAGCCCAACGACGTGCCGCCCCGCCCGTCGCTCTGCCATGCTTGATCAATGCGAATGCGCTTACTAGTACCGGCGATTGGGAACCAACGGGTGGCATCTCGTAGGGCATCATGGAAAGGGCTCCGAAAGGAAAACGGCACTAATGCCGATGCTGCAGTTAGTGGCGATGCCTTTATTTCATCAGAGAAGCCGCTTGGGTCCTCCATAACTGCAGCATCATTCACAGAGGCAGCGCTCGAGTCCATCGCGTCACGCGATTCGTCACAAAATACCACAAAAAAAATTAACTCTATCGTGTATTTCCTAATGCAAATATTGCATTACGACGTGCTTCTTTGCTCAACATGGGTAAAGGGAAAGAATCGAGTTAAATAAAGGCCAGATTGAGCTGGTCATCGAAAGGTTTGAGCAGTGGAGCCAGCAGGTTTTTCTCGTGAGGTGGCAACGATTCACGCAGCTTGACCAGCTCGTCGTACTTGGACCCCATCTTCTCCACGATCTTGTCGAGTTTTCGCTGCGCTTCTGGGCCGCCACCTTCGGCCACCTTAGCTTTAAACGAGAGGAAATGTCGCAGTAATTCACACACATCGTGGAATTGGTTGTAGACCTGCTTCTTGAATTCGTTCGGAATGTACTCAGCAGCCAACGCGCCACTCGCCAAATTCGCAGCCGACGATGCTGAAGCTGAATCACTCGTCGAATCCGAGCACGCTACTACTTCGGCCAGTACATTAAAGCACGTCTTAGAAGTCGGATAGGCATTTTCCAGTTTGATTGGAGCCTTGCACGTCGCCTGGAACACTTTTTCAGCGTCAGATAGTGGCAGCTTGTTCGTCGTGCTGCTGTCAGTCGTTCCTTTCTCGGCGTGTTGGAAGTAGCGCGACTCATCTTCCAATGTTAGTGGGTTGTACGGTGGTGAAGCTTTATCCTGGAGATCATCCAGAAGCGTAGCATCCCCTAAATTGTCGTGATAACCTGCTTTCTTTTTCTGAGGCAGCGTCTGCTGTGCATTGCCCTTCCCTGCTTTTTGCTGCTGTAGTTTCCCAGCATGCGCCGGGTCTAGAACATAAGCTCCATGCCGATTGAACTTGGCGATGGTAATACTGGACGGGTTTTCTTTCTCTGTGATGTGCCGTTTGGCATGGTGCACTGCCGCATCTTCCTCCGTCGTTGTAAGATCAATCAACGGGTCCACAATCCCGCGAGGGTCGATACTCACTCCCTTAGCCTCTTGTTTCTCTTTCTCCTCATACTTGGTAAACATATCTTCGTGTCCGGCCTTCCTCTCTCGATGGAAGTACTTGGACTTGAAGAATGCTCCCCAGAACTCCGTCTCTGTCATCTTGTCGGGTACTTGCCCCTGGTAAGCCCTGTAGACGGCGGGATACTGAATGAAAATCTGGTGAATCACTTCTGCGTTCAAGTTGTACTTGACCACATTACCGCCCGCGTCATTGTCCGCTGCCAGGTCCGTCAGGATGGCTGACGTTTTGCCCGTCTTTTGTCGTTTACTGGCCTCTCCAGCGATCAAGTGGCGACGGCTCGCCCAGAAATCCTCCTCCGAGATGAGACCATCATTCACCATCTCTGTGTGCTGTCGTTTGAGTGTCGGGTTAGCAGCCAGCAACGCGGCGCGCTGCTTGATCTCCGTGGGGTTGCACAGTGCTGCAGCATTAGAGCGAGTCCCGCTAGCTCCGTTCTCACGCAGCCGGCGAGCGATAAAATCCTTGGCCTGCTCGCGCACTTCGAAAGCTTCTTCCAGGCTGCCGGACTCGGCAACAAACTCCAGCACGAGTGTCGAGTTGTGTGCGAGGCGCAGACGGATCATGGCCTTAGGACTTGAGAGCGATGACACCTGCTGGTCCTGAACAGTGCTCCACGGTACGGCGATGGGCGGGTGGCTAGTGGGGGCCTCGGGAGATGCATCAGCGGTCCAGCGTAGTCCTTTGAGCGAGAATTCGGCGCGTCCGTCGCGCTTCTTGACGCGCACCAGCGCCACAAGAGACTCCGACATCTTGCTTATGATTCTGAAACAATACAAAAAATTAAAGATGCATTTAGGTACCGGTATTTATAATCAACAGCACAAATTTCAGTTACATGTAATACTTTAAATTGTGTATTTGTATGATTTAAAAAATAAAATAAAAGAGGAATTAATTTACCTGAAGAAATATTAATACATAATTTACATTTTATAAAAAGTATAATTTATTATAGGTAAACAAAATACTTTTTCACTTGTCTATCGCAAAAATGACAAAACGAAAATATCCATTTTGAAAGCCTTCCTTTGATAATTGATAATTGAACAGCAACCGGCATTATTGCATTTGAGGGAGAATGACGACGCTCTCGCTCTCGTTCTGGGTGCCGCTGCTGCTGCTACTAAGCTGCGTTTTCGGGGAGCACTACCACCGCCACACGAATAATTGGGCGGTGATTGTAAGTAAAGCGCGTGCACGATTCGGCGTGACTTTTGCTGACAGAAAACACCACCTGCATGTTGCTTAGGTTGATACGTCTCGCTTCTGGAGCAACTACAGACACGTGGCCAATGCACTGTCGCTTTATCACTCTGTTAAGCGTCTCGGTATCCCGGACAGTCAGGTCAGAGAACGAATTATAGTACATAAAGAAGGAAACTACAGCTCGGTGACACGATGTTGCATCTCGCGTTGCTGCGACGAATCTTGTTCCAACTAGATCATCCTAATGCTGGCGGACCAAATGCCATGCAATGCTCGCAACTGTTTCCCAGGACAAGTGTTCAATAGTCGAACGCAGAAGATCAACCTGTTCGTTTCAACTGCTCCTGGACTGAAGGCTCCGACAACTAAACCTGCTGACTTATCTGTGATCGCTACCATTCGCAGCTATGGTAAGAACGTCGAAGTAGACTATCGCGGTTCGGAGGTGTCGGTCGCCAACTTTATCACCGTCCTAACGGGTGCGTAAAGTGAGTGTCACTAGCAGATGCAACGGATGCTAACAAGATATAAATCTTGCAGGCCGCCATGAGCCTGGGACGCCTGCATCGAAGAAGTTGGACACGGACGAGAACAGCAACATCTTCGTAGGAATCTCTACGTACGAGCTTGTCGCAGTCCCTTTCGCTCACGTGAATGCACCTGTGTTTTGCAGCTTTACATGTCCGGACACGGTGGCGACGGGTTTCTGAAATTCCAGGTGCGTCCGTTAGCCACTAACGCATACACAGACCAACGCAGCTAAAATACTTACATCTGCGACGTTTTCGGCTGAGCCAGGACTTTGAAGAGATGTCGAGCCAGGACCTTGCCGACTCTATTCAGGAAATGCATGTCAAGAAGCGGTGGGTTCAAGTTCTCCTTGTGCTATGGCTAAGAAACTGTTCCAGCTAAGCTGTGTGCTTAATGTTGCACAGCTACAACGAAATCTTCTTCATGGTCGACACATGTCAGGCAGGCTCGCTGTCCAATGCTCTCGAATCCCCCAAAGTGGTAACCATCGGCAGCTCGCAGACAGGCGAGAACTCGTACGCCCACCACTCCGACTTTGAGGTTCAATTGTTGTAATTGGATTTCGCTTTGCTGTTGCTGTGGTGCTGACTTATAGATGTGCTTCTTTTGATGCAGTTGGGGCTCTCTGTCATCGATCGCTTTACCTTCTCGACGCTGGACTACCTCCAACGCATGAAGGTCGGCGACTCCATCCGCAACGGGACTCTCCGGGACCTCTTCAACTTTTACGACCCGAAAATGCTTCTGTCGACACCTGACTACCGAACTGACATCTTAGGCCGCTCCATTGACGAGGTACCCATCACAGACTTCCTCGGTTCAATGCTGGATGTGCATCTTCACTTCGACGACGAAGCGTATCCGATCGAAGCTACACCAATCGACTCCGCTGCTCTCAGCGAGAAGACCTCTGCGTCGATAAAGATCGACGACTCTGTTGGAGTGCTTGACTCAGATGCGCAGCATAGTGGGGCCTCGACTTCCGCAAACGTGCAAAGCTTTGAGTTTACCAACGACTTTTTCTTCGGAGTCGCTGCAGCTGTGATCGGTGCCGTGGTCGTGACCACGAAAGCGATCTAACACATTAAGTTAGGCGTTTGAGCAATGATTTTGTGGTTACTCATCCTGAACTTTTCAATTTCAGAGTACGACGAAAAATAAATCACTAACTGGGACAGCGCAAAATGCAGGCAATTTAGCCGTATCCTCGCTGGCCGTTGCTGTTGGTGAGGTGCGCGCGTCGGTACATGGAATTCGGGTGGTGCGGACTCGTTTCCTCCTCCTCTTCTTCTTCCCCCTCCTCGGGATCCGGACTGAACTCGTCCTCAATAGAAGGTTGACTCCGCATGAACAGGCGAACGAAAAGAACTGCAACGCCGGAGATCCAAATGGGCGACGTGCAAATACTGAGTGCGATAAGCATCGGGCTCAGCATAATAACGAACGGCACACACACCACGGAAGTGAAGTGCCAGACGATCAATGGGCGTAGCTACACACGAAAACATTTAAAACTATCAGATGACCGCAAGTCGTAAAAGCATTGTCCCTACAGTTGAAGTGTTGAGACAAACCTTGACAAACAACGTCGTTTCTTGGACAAATCTCGGCACAACCATCGCCACAATGCGCTCCACAGCAGCCCTGCTCAGGATTGCACCTCGAGTTCGTAAGAAAACCACTGAAAAGACAGCGTAACTACGACGTACGCACCGTATTTTGTGCACAGGCTGCATGACCAGTACAATCTTGGACTTGACCGTAGTCACAAGCTGCTTGCCAGGCCGCTCATTGTACTCGTGGCGTTCATCATACGCCTCATGGCGCTTTAAATGCAGTTTCATGAGCTGTGGTGTATATGGAGTATTAAGCGGCGTTCGGTCGTTGCGCAGCACTCCCTGTATCAAATCCATACTTACGATGTGAGTACACTGCCCTTCTTTCACGATACATGTATCTCCGACGCATACCACGATCGGCTGTAGGCCAACGCCATACTTGCGGTGGACGTACGGGTCCCACTCGGGCTCCAAACTTAGCGGCGTGACGCTTTCCAAGCTGTTGCCGTCCACGGGACCTGTATAGCAACACGGAGAAATTTAGTCGTCGGTCTCCATCCATCCGAGTCAGCTTGGGTGCACTAAAGCCGACGTTGAAGCTGCCAATGCTGGCACAGACGCACCGCCGTAAGCTGCGGCGGCCAGCGGTGATCGCGACGTCTTTTTCTTCTCGTCACCCATGTGTCAAATACTGGCGGTGATACGTAGGGAAACGCAGAAGACAGCCCTTGGCTTCTTATGTTTTGGCTGCGCACAAGGCTTGTTGGCTCGAGCTCCAACTTGGCGAGTGACGTGAGAGCGCGTCCGCTGAGGAGCTTCGAATTGGCACAGACGGGGCGGCGAGGGAGATGGACAATCTGGCAGCTGAAGTGTCGTGTAGGCTACGTAGCGTTATGTAAAGACATCAATTTCTATTTAGCGTGGTCCACCTTCCTTATGTTCGATACATAACAAAGTCAGTCTTAAAAACGCAATGTTGATCGGTTGTTTTATATTGGTTTTCAAAGGCTTATTGATTGTTTTCTTCTGTGGTCTATAAAACGATAATTTTAAAGATCGCTAAATTTAATACGATATCCAAGGCTATTTGCTCTCTGCGGCTTTGAGTTTTATGGGATCAGTCGACGGGGAGAGGAAACAGCAGCATCGGCCTGACTAGGCTCGCGTTCCCCGCCTTCCACTTATCACCAACTACAGGACGATGGCGCTGGATCTCGGCAACGACCAGTACGCCCTCACGTTGCTAGGAAGCAACGGCAGTGACGACCAGTATGACGGCGCCGGTAACGGTGGTAACAGCCTGGCCACGCGCCCGTACGCTAAAAGCTCGTCCGGTGTACGTTTCCAAGTGCAATCGATGCGTCCTATGCCCATATTAAATGCCTTCTCCTTTGACATTCGCAGGCAGACAATGAGCAAATGCGGTCGGAGATCGTGCGCTTAGAGAATGTGCTGGCCAGTCGCATTGCAGCCCGTGCCAATCAGGACAAGGCCAACCTGCCACTGGAGCGCTCCAGCAAGATTGAAAAATACGTAGAAGTCATGGAGCTCACCAAGTGTCTACGTCGCCAGAAGGAGTTTTTGCTGAGTGAGAACCGCAAGCGCCAGCGTTTCGCCGAGAAAATTCAACAGGCCATGCCGGTGCGTGCTGAGCAGCAATCAATGGGTGATGGCACAAATACTGACAATGCTATGCGTTTTATTGTTGTTGCTACTAGCCGTCCACCGATAGCATCCAGTTTATGAAGAACGTCAAGTACCCGCCCGATGAGGAGCTGGAGAAAACCTCCCGAGAAGCGTTTATGGAGATGATGGAGTACCAAGTGAGTGGAGAGGCTGCCACGTACATGGATTGGCAGACTAAACGCGAGTCCAAGTCGATGTACATGCACACGTTTTCCGAGAAGAGTTTCGTGCACGAGGACATGGCCCGTGTCTTTAACGAGACTTGGGCGATGTTTCACGATGAGGCCAAACAGGAGCTGCTGCACCGCCGGCGAAGCAAGTTCTACGTACGTTGCACACAGCGTGGAGTTGTACACTGATTGTGTGAACTGACGTTGGCTGTTTTGGTGTTTCCAGATTCTGAAGAAGCTGAACGACAACATGTACCTGACACGCAACATTCACCAGTTTATTGGAGAGAGCTTTCCGCGCCACGCCATGACCCTTGTGTGTCGCATTTCGATTGATAAGGACACGTTCGCTATTATCAGCAAGTCTGTAGTGCCACCCACAAATGACGCACAGCACCTGGTCTGGACGGACGAGTGCTTCATGTGGAAGTTTGCACGGCGCATGGATGCACAGGGCGGATTCGACATCTCTATTCGCGGCAAATACGGTAGCACTTCTGCAGTTGCAGGTAACCGCTTGCCAATGCTTGAGTCGTACTTCCAGCTGGTGGACTGGGAGTCACTTGTCATTCGCCCAATGTTCGACTTCGCTGTGGTGTAGCTCCTCGATGCTGGCTGCTCAGTCGACGCTCGACGGGAGGAAACGGTTTCGAGAAGAAGAAACGATTACGCCAAAGGGACTTATTCTGTGCTCGCCCGGCGAGGCCCAGCGCAACTAAGCGTAATTCTTTTTGTTTTGGCAATAGTCGAGCTCCCAGTGCGCCAGCCGGCCAACCACACCAGTCGGAAGCTTGTACATATCATAATGTGCTCGCTTATAATTTACTTCTTGTTCAGCTGTACGCTTTTTGTTGCATATTTAATTACTACTACTACCGTAGTACTGTGGTAAGTGTTTGAGTATTTCCGATCTACGGGGCTAGCTATGATCCTTCTTATCATTTTCTTGACGGTATGTTTCTCAAGAATTGCGAACAAAAAGTAGAGACTGAGAAAAGAGCTCGAAAAAATAATATGCGTAAAAATTAATCCCAATTTTTTAATTTAATTATTAATTTATGGCTGCCAGCAACGGGAACGACCCCAATTTTGAGTAAGGTCTAGTCAAGTTACAGCGTGGGGACGCGCTGAACGTCGCGGAAAAATTAGCCTGCGCTGAATTTAGGTCGCCTGATCTCGAACGGTCGTCTTCAAGAGCCGCCGAAGAGCGTTCTATTGTGAGAGCGGCGTTCAAGAAACGCAATTGCGCACTACGTCGACGTCGCGTACATCCCGCCAACGTCTAACGAGTGTGAGCGCTCTTCTCTCTCGCTAAGCTGGTACTGTCTGATCTACGGAAGCGAATGTCTCCAGCCAGGCTCGAGATGATAATGTTTCTGAACTACAATCGTGACTTACGAAGTTTTGCAAATAATTGAATTTAATTTTCTCAGCTCACATCGATGTATTAATCCAAGTATTGCATTTTCGGGTATCCCTGAGTATGATGGTATGATCCGCAATGAGCCCGCCACTGGATTGACATTTATAGCAGTATTTTCATTGCCTTAACATGGTCACCGTTTTCAAACACGCAAGTAATCAGTTTGTTGTTTCCTTCTACTACATGTAGTGTTGTTCTTGAAATAAATGGACTTGGTTCTCACGATGTCATTTACGAGCGTAATTCTTTGACGACTACAGCTACTCGTGCCGACGTCTTCATAGTATAAATTCATCGCATAAATATCACATTGTCCACGACGAATTAACGGTAGAATTCAGAGTTCCCAAGGAGCGGCTCGTAGTTCTCCACAGATAGCATTGCGAGCAAACGTTTGTCAAGCGTCAAATAGATGGGGATCAGCTCTGCTGCAATAAACACGATGACGAGCAACATTGCCTGTGTCTACTCCACAACGTGCAACACCATCAGTCACCACAAAACACGAAACTTTGTCTCAAACTTTTGTATCGTACCGAGGCGTTTTCGCGGTGCACATTGAACCAACCCTGTTGTTCAGAGGATCAATGAAAATGTTCAAGATGTGATCTTCATTAACAAAATCGCAATATTGCTCAGGAGTTGTTGTTACCTTGGTGAATGTGAGCAGCGTCATAACACTGTACAAGATGCGTCCAAAGCTCCATGCCATAACAAGACGGCCCACCCGTTGAAGCCGAAGCTGTGCCGATTGCGACTTAAATGGAAATCCCGACAGTGACAGCGTCAAGTACAGCCACGTCGAGAAGATGATGATCGGGAGAAACAAATCTGCAGCTGCGACCAAGTAAAAAATCATCGCGGGGATCTGAACAGTCAACAGAATATCCAAAATGTCAACTTTAACAGCACCGAAGTATGTTAGGTCCACATACGAGACGTACAGGACTAAGGCGATCTTGCTTCTCGTGATCGAAGATCCCGTTCGTATCGTACAGGAACAGACTAGCATACAACACCAGCTGTGTCAAGTATAGTCCTCCGTTGAAGACTAAGTAGAAAATCATCCACTTGCGTCTAAACATTGCTGCGGAAAACCAATGACGCCGCGACTACAGGCGACAAAGCTGTTAGATTTTCTACCATCAACATTACAATCTCCGACAAGATCGTACCGACTGAAAAGCTTCAGCCCACACCAACACGAGCAGTAAGTAGGACGAAACGAAGAGGAAATCAGGCAAATTGAACAGCACAGCCACCACTTTGTTGTAGAAATCTAACTCCGCCTCAGCGTGGCTCCCTGCTGCGTCTCCTCCATCTGTGTCCTCGGCGTCTTCTCCGAAATGCGACGGCAACCCTCCACGCACCCACGGGTTAGCGCCCGAAATCCCAGTGGGGAGGTCTGCGGTCGCTTGGGAATCTAGGATGCATAGTGTAGAAAAGGTGGCTGACCGGAAGAAGGAGCCCAGGGCTAAGCTCAGAATCAGCAGTTGTACGGTGCTCCACGTCGTGTGCTGTAAGCGCTTGAGCACACCCCGCACTTCTAGGTACTTATTAACTGTCATGGCTGTGAGCAGGACATAGCACAGCGCCAGAAAGTAGCTGGACATTGCCAGGTTCGCGAGGAACAGCGGCATCTTGAGCAAGGTGAGTTGCAGCGTGAATCAGGCTGTGTCTCCAAAACAGGACTCGAACCCGCGACCTATAGCGTGACATTATCCAAATTTGAATCATGACAAAGTTAGACACTTATTCAAATCAATTTTGAATTGACTCTAAAATACTAAGTTGCCATTTTAAAAATCGGTAAGTTGCCATTTTTTGCCAAGTTAAACATGTTGAGCTTACAACTTTGTGCTATCACTTCAAGGTATACATGTCGGAATACAGTGTATCCTTACTCGCTACCAGCTCCATTGGTGTTAGAGTTTCGCTTGGCTTTAGCTTCATCCTCCTCAATAAACTTGATGTCGAAGCAGTTGCGTCCGGTGGGGTCTTTGTATTCGAGCCCCAAAGCGATGAACACATCCACTTCAGATTCGTAGATGACACTGTCTCCAAGTCGCACCTTGGTTCCGCTCACCCGCATCACCCGACTACACTCCACTAGCAGCGACAAGACGCTGTACGACCATGACCAAGTCATGGTCGTACAGAAATTCAGTAGTTGAAGTATTCAATTACATGTTTATATTCTAATACATTTGTATTTAATATAATACCAGAATACTATTCTTTGAAAAACGAATTTTAGAACGTTTTGTGTGATCGATGCAAAGACCCTTCCGCCTCGCGGGTCTCTTGCGAGACGAGACCGAGACGAAGAAGAGGGAATGGAAAAGCGTCGGCACTTTTATTCTCTTGACCAGGCATCTACAAATCTGGCATTTCAATCTATTTCTGGCATTCGCGCCATATCCTATTCTTAGAAAATGCCAGGTTTCATGAAGAAAACTGTTCTTCTCCGTCGTTGGATTGCAATACTGGCGGCTTCCAGATCAATCTCCACGGTGTTATGGCTGAGCAGGACGACAGAGGGAATGGCGAGTCCCCGTACCAGCTAATACAGGCTCGAATGTCTGGCAAACAGAAAGGTCGTTCAACCCCATTCCAAGATAGCCATCTTCTCGAATTCGGTCTCGCAGTCAGTGAGCGAAGTCCAACGAGCGGCTTCATACTGGCTGTTGCATGCCGCTTTTGCATGGCGTTTGGCAGGGAAGAGAAGGTGGGATCCAAGAGAAAAGTGATCCAGACTAACAAATTTTACAAGTATCCCTTCCGTTCTGAGGCGTACCGAAACCACCTTCTCTCTCAGCATCCTAGTACTGTAGAACATTTGTGCTTCCGGACAGACCAAATTGCATACAAAATGAAAAACCTTATAGGTAGGCAAGATTACGTTTATGTATGTATGCAGCTTGCACATCTATCAATTGATGCTGGATGGGTTACCATCTGATGCATCAAGACAGTGCTCCACAACATCGTCGTCGTCGCAAACTGTTACAGCGTCGTCAATCAACTGCAAACTCTCCATCTGCTCAATAACATCGTTTTCGGCAAATTCAGTCATAGCTCGTTTTGTATGCGGGTTAAACCCACTCTTGATAACAACTTCGCCTAACTGCTTCCATGCAGTCGTTGCCCAAGTCACTGCTTCTCGTCTTGAAGGAGGCTGAAGCTCGAATTTCCCATGGGAGCCGTCAGCGGAGTAATCATTCAATTGCTGCGATAAAAAGTTCACCCATTGCCTTCGTAAGCGCTGCTTAAGAGGACGGAACCACGAAATGTCTGCTGGTTGGCATACTGAAGTAAGTCCAGGGGGAACCTTAAGTAGATGAACGTTGAGCAACGTTGCATGCTTTTTGACTTCATCGGTCCAATGTGCCGAGAAGTCATCCCAAAGCAAAAGAATTGGTTCTGCTTCGTCTCTGCTGGCAAAATGGTAGTCCAGAAATGCGACAGAAAGGTTGGAGTTCCACCAAGCAGAGCTGTTGCCATAGATTTGCACACCAAGCTGTGTTTGAGCGTCCTTCATTGCTGGCCAAAGCTTATCGCCAAAGCCGTGCTGGGCGATGTAGTTATATGCAGCTTTCTCTGGGAGTTTTGAAGGCTCGGTTTTCACTACGTAGAATGTATCGTACTGCTTCCCCGTAGAATCAGCCAGGAACATACCGGTGAAGCGTTCCTTGTCCTTTCCTCCACACCTTACCCAGACTGTCTTTGCACCCTTCTTACTGATTGTTTGTTTCGGTAAATATTCGAATAATATCCCACTTTGGTCAGCATTGTAGACTTTATTGACACCAAGTTCACGCTTCGTGTCTTCCACTTCCTGCCAGAACGCCTGAGCGGCTTCTTCCATTGCGGCAGGAGATTTCTGCCCTTGGCGAGTTTTAGCTCGCAGTGAAAGTCCGTGACGCGAGAGGAATCCTTGCTGCCAGCTCCATCGTCCCTCGAAAATACCATCTGGCACGCCGATGTCTTTAGCGATCTGCAAAGCTTGTAGCTGCAGCATAAGTCTCGAGACAGGAACACCTTCACCCCGCATTGAGTTGACCCACTCCACTAAACCTTCTTCCGCGGTAGGAGACAAAGTTGTTGCTGTTCCTTTTTTTCTAGCCGACTTTAGATTCGCAGTGGCTGAGCACGCAACCATGGCTTCAATATGTGCCCTCGATTTCTCCCATTCATATATGCGCTTACGCTTGGACTCCCTTTTGGACGAAATAAGATGGCTGTAGAATTTGTCGAGAGTTTCTTGCATATTGTTGTCTTTTAAAAAGTCTATGACGGCTAGCTTCTTAGTGTAGCTTTCACATTCACGAGAGTATTGATTCGCCCGACGACCACGATCACATGGGGTTCTCTTCCTGCCGCGCGCCATGTTGAGGACCAGCGTTGAATCGGTTTTGCGCGCCCTCTCGATTTTTCTGCAACCCTTTATGAATAAAAATAGGCCTGTCCGTTTAAACAAATGGTCAATGGTGAGGTTTTTCTAATTTCTGTATCACTACGATTGGCCGATAATAGTGTCCTGATGTACAAAACGTCTGGATGCACAAATGTTCTACAGTAGGTGGGCACAGTACGAGCAGCTTTTATCTGAAGCAAAGCGTGTCTTCTTCGATGACGTGAAGCCATTTCGACCTACAATTCGATCATTTGCTAGCGAAAACCAAGCACCTATTGTTGTTTCAATTGATACACGTATTGTCGATGAAATAATTGAGCAGATATTGCTGGATGGTGACGAAAACAATTTTTCGTGGGAGCGAACTAAGAAAGCTGCATTCAAACGCGACGATTCTGGCACTCATTATGTGTTGACCATCAACAATCCTCTTCAGTTTCATTTAATAGTGGACTACTTAAGCTATGGAATGTCGTTTCGAATGGCGCTATCAGTATTAACAAATACAAAACAACGAACAGGATTGGTTTCTATTGGATCATGTTCTCCTGATCTTCCATCGAAGTACGCGCGGTTCGTTTGTGCGATGAACTTACAGAAGATTAAGCTGTTGCTTTGCGCCTCTTGGATATTATCAATTGCGCTTGACATGTCGACTCACATGTCAGTTTCCTATTTGGATACTAGGATCCGCCTATTTCACTGTGGACAAATTATCAATTTACACCTATTGGTTATTCCAATGTACGACAGTCATACCGGGGAAGCCATGTTCAACGCAATAATCCCCGTATTGAATGTGTTGTGCCCAGACTGGAAAGAAGTAATGCTGGGAGTGACAACTGACGGCGAACGGAAAATGACGGGTAGCAGCAAGGGAATAGCAGCTCGTTTTCAGAAAGTGTGCTCAAGTGGGTTCATGCGTGTCTGGTGTGGTCTCCACCAGTTGGATCCGGTACTCCAGAAAGCTTTTAAAACTGCAATAAAGGGTCAATTTCACAGTTCAATGACATCGACAATTGCATATCTACGCCGTCAAGCAAAACTGATACGAACTAAGAATTCGACCGCTCCTCTTCTTCAGGATACACGCTGGGAATCGATGCTCAAGTGCTGCACTTGGTTCCAAAGTAACCGCATAAAAATTGCAACGCATTTGGCAATGGAAAACCCAGCGTGCAAACCTCCTGATAAGTGGTGGCTGTGTTTGGCACTGATACAGTTACTTTCTAAGCGAGCTGTCATTACCTTTCGCAGTTTAGAAAGTTATACAGCTCTTGTTTCAGGGCAGGTTGAGGCATTAAAGCGGTTGTCCAGAGACTTGCTGTCTGTTTTCGGTGGTCGTGCAGTTTTAGATGCAGATCGCGTGAAGTTGGTTCAGCTAGAAAGTACCCATGTATTTTCCGACGACAGAACAATTCTAGTGAACCCAAATACCATTTTGGATTTACTTCTTGATGATGGAACCTTTACAATTCAGATTCTCGACTCACTTGGGCCAGATTCAGCTTTTGAATTGGTTAAGGACTTTGCTCTGGTAATTGCGAATTTGGTTGCTAGTGTGAACATCATTGAACCAGAACGGAGCAACAAAAATGAACCGTTGGAAGGGAACACTCCTCCGGCGCTACCACGCGACTTGATTAACCTGAAGGGGAGAGATATATCAGCTCTTATCAATTTACACCGTGATCGGTTGCATTCACGATGGAGTGAGGTGGAGACTGACATGATTAAGCAAGAGCATGCCGCTCTAGCCGACCTTTATGCTTCGCAAGCCGAATTTCGACGTCAAATCGACGAGGCATCATCGGAACTTAAGACCGTGACAACTTTCGAAGATGCTTGGAAGGATGTATGCGGGAGATTTCAGATGCTACATCGTTTTGCTGGAGGAATTGCGACTACATTTCCTGGTACATCTTCGGTTGAAAGCGATTTTTCTGTTCTGAAGTGGGAAAAAAACCTTTTAAGAAGCAGGCTGACGAATTTCTCCCTTGAAGGAGCCTTACACTCAAAACAGCACGATCTGCTTGAGAGTTTAACAGGCCTCGAGATCAATGAATAGTCTAGTAGCGCTCTAACAGACAAGAAATACGACACATTTAGATTAAGAAGATCTCCCCGATGTACTTTAATACTACTTTTAGTATGGTGCCAGGTTGGTGCCATTTCCTGTGTCGTCGGAATGCCAGATTCAGGTCAAATCAGTCAAATTGGGCAAATGCCAGATTTGTAGATGCCTGGACATGACGCGTGAATTGGTCTTTAATAGGACGGTTTGGCGTAAATCATAGTGTAATCTCCCCGTTTTAGCAGAAATCTGCAACATTTGGTTCTCTATGCGACATGAGAGTAGACTAATCCAATTTCAGTTTTGGAGAAAATTTAAGAAATTAAATACCGGTACTTCTCATGGTGGCTAATTCTCAGCCTCGACCAACCAGTTTTCTGCCGTTTTTTTGAGACGAGCTTTCGAGACCGAGACGAAGAAGAGAAGCGTCGGCGCTCTTATTCTCTTTTTGCGACATGACGCGTGAATTGGTCTTTAATAGGACGTTTTGGCGTACATCATAGTGTAATCTCCCCGGTTTAGCAGAAATCTGCAACATTTGGTTCTCTATGCGACATGAGAGTAGACTAATCCAATTTCAGTTTTGGAGAAAATTTAAGAAATTAAAATCCTGGTACTTCTCATGGTGGCTAATTCTCAGCCTCGACCAACCAGATTTCTGCTAGGTAATTCCGCCTGTTGTTCGGGGAGCATCGCTCGGATTAGGAACGATCATAGCACTTGGGCAACGTGAGGAGCTCGAAATAGAGCCTGCAACTGGGCTTCCAACGCTGCTCGCTGCAGCGCTTGCCCATGACGAAGAGCCACCATGGCCTGGTGATGATCTGCGTGCAGCCCTCCAAGCTGCACCCGGACCACATCCGGAGGTATTTGATGACCAGATAGCACAGCGGAGGTGGCGATGAGTTCCCGACGATTTTTTGCCTGCATTGATTCATTGCACGACGGAATTGGTGCTGAAGTTCTTGACGCCGAGTGCGGATATTTTGAGCGCGCTGTCGATCCATGCGCTCAACGGTCTCTAGCGCTACCCGGCGACCTTCTTCGAGCTGAGTTGCGTACGCTGCGTATACAACAAAGAGGTCATCACCGCGGAGCCGATATACTGCGTACTCAAAGGGCTCAGAGAATACGGTGCGATCGCGCGGCATCGGGACTGGACCGCTTGCATGGTAGCGGAGTCGTAGCTCTGCTCGCTTCAAAGCGTTGCGTAAGCCGTGTTCAAGCTGATTGGGCAGCCTTCGGCTATGTGGAAGTCCCGCAAAAGCGACGGCGAGCATGGGATTGAGCCCCGCCTCAGGGACGCCTCGGCCTGTTGTAACCTCCCGAATCACCTGGTTCCCCCGAGCAATTGCCTCCTGAGTTGTGTACCCCCACTTGGACGCGTAGGAATACTTATAGAGCCCCACTTCTTCGGGTCGAATGCGGAAGTACCGCCCAGTGTCTGTCGGCACCAGATTACCTCCTCCAGTACGCTCAGTTAGAGGAGCGAGGCGGAGCAGATAGGGAATAAAACAATGAAGTAGCCTGGGGTCCAAATCTTCTCCTTCCTGAGGCCACAGGAGGGCGTTTGGGCGGATGACTACGATGCGAGTGTGGAGTTGAGCCCTTGTTTCTGCATCTGCGTCCATGGTGAGCTGAAAAATGGTTTGTAGTCATTCCTCCTCCTTAACTTACAATGACCCAGGCAAGTTGCATTCATTTACCGGGGCTATTTTATGTAATGTACAGGACAGGAAATTTCGTTGTTGACGCCAGGAAAATCGAAACATCTACTGCAACAAAGAAAATAAAGTGTTTGATTTGTTCTTTAATTTCCCCATCTGCAGCGCCGCATATATGGTGCAATCAGCACCACATACATGTACATGGTGCAATCAAGATCATTCGAAAGAACAAGCCTCTAACAGTACATGCAGATCATTTCATTTTCCATTCCGCCGACTATCCCTCCAATCGACTATGGACGATACCATCCAAGGACTCTGCTCACCTCCAGACATGGTGAATCGCGTTGCCCAAGCCGAAATCCCTGAACAGGTCTGTGTCCTGGGGCAGTCTAACGCTACATCCGATGTGTGCACCGCGGGTCAAACTGAAGCTGCAGCCGATGCGAGCGATGCTTGGCGTCGAGGGCCACCACTGCACTATGATGCAAGAAAAGATCCTCCACTAGATCGACTATTTTCTGCCACGAGCCATGAAATTGCGAAACTTGTGGAAGTTCGCAAGGTATGTGGCAGCTTTTGCACCGCCTCCTGGGGAGCGGCTGCAAACGTATGATGCTGTCGGAGCTCGCTGCTTCAAATGCCACCAGACGTTCCTTATCGGGACAGAAATTGGTACCCACGAGAGACTAAGGAATGCCAATTTCTACACCCATATGAGGAAGGGGCATTCAGAACTCGAAGCTCCTGACACGTCAACACCTAAGCCGCCTTTACTTGAGTGTACTGCGGCGGCGTCAGCTCCGCCGACGGTGAAATCACAAATTTCTTCGACGTCGACGATACCCACCAAGGCTAAGCGGAAACGTCATGGCCCATTAACGCCTTCTACAGCAGACGGAGACGGTTTGTCTACAGACTCGACGTGAAATTCTGCGGTCGCCTGTATCACGCATCAACGTGCTGCAGCCGTGAATCAGGCTGTGTTCCCTTATCGAATTTAAATCATGACAAAGCTAGACACTTAATCGTATCATTTTTTAATTTATTCTAAAATGCTAAGTTGCCATTTTAAAAATCGGTAAGTTGCCATTTTTTGCCAAGTTAAACATGTTGAGCTTACAACTTTGTGCTATCACTTCAAGGTATACATGTCGGAATACACTGTCTCCTTACTCGCTACCAGCTCCATTGGTGTTAGAGTTTCGCTTGGCTTTAGCTTCATCCTCCTCAATAAACTCGATGTCGAAGCAGTTGCGTTCGGTGGGGTGTTTGTATTCGAGCCCCAAAGCGATGAACACATCCACTTCAGATTCGCAGATGACGCTGTCTCCAAGTCGCACCTTGGTTCCGTTCACCCGCATCACGCGAGTGAGTGCACGGTCAGATAGACTCCAACCATTCTTGTTCGCAAACAGTCTCATGCTTCGATTGAAGTGGTCACTGCCCGTGAAATACAGCATTGCGAAGCCAAAAAAGTGTCGCGGGTAGATCTTGATATCCAAGCGGCGATACGGTAGATCCTGTTGTCAGCAGCACACTAACACTCAGCAGAAATTCGTAGTGATGTACTGCCAATTGAGATAAACCTTGGAGACGCGGCAAACGCCCATGTAGGTATCACAGCCGCCAGTTTTTTGCTTTTGATAGTGCGTCAGATCGTCTGGTGGCAAACCAAAAATGAGGAAACTGAACCAAAGTAATTCATAGAAAGCGTACCAGTAAGAAACCCCGACGCATGGAGGCGTTTGAGCAATTCAGGCATGATAGCACATGCGTCAGCGTCTGGATCTGTGATAAGAACGTCACAATCGCCGGACGAAAGCTTGCCGCGGCGATACGAGCCGCAGGCCAGAGCGATGGCATTCGGAATCATTTTGTGAACTTCATCCACAACGGTTTGCTCTATCTGGTGTACTTCAGCTCTGACCGATCATTACATAATCAGGCATCACAAGTTTTTTTTTGTAAACGTGTTTCGGCAGCCAATTCAACATACCTTGGAATCTTGGTGAGAAAGTCTTCATAGTGCTTCACTCCAATTTGTTGCTGTGCTGTCAGCACCGCTGCAGCTTCAGGCTTTCGTAATTCTGTCACTGATTTGTATCCTTGACCATAAAGTTTCGCTGCCGTCGCAGGGCCAACACCCCAGATTCGAGCAATTTCAACCAAGGCACGTAATCTGGGATTGCTCTTCTTGGCATCGAGCTTGGCCAGACGACCAGTCTCGAGGATTTCAATGACTTTATCTCGCAAACGTCCCTTCACCCAGTGCATATCCTTGAAATCCTTCACACTGCAAACGCGACGGCGCATGGCTTTCAGACTCGACACCACTTTCTGCATTGCAAAAATCACTTAATCTCGAGCTCCAGAAATTGTACGCGGTAGCTACAATTTACCTTATACATGTACTGCCGCCAGACATCCCGTTCAACGTCAAGGAACTCCATCATTTCCTCCAATGGATCGGTCAAATGAGCATTAAGATTCTGCTGGACCGCTGTGTATACAAATTGCAGACCTTTAGTGGAAGCGAGTGCGATTTAATCGTAGAGGACAGCGTACCTGACGATTGTTGGCAAATGAAGCCTTCGCCTTTGACTTTCTTCGAACCTGGTACCGCTGACTCGGTAATTGGGCGAAAATCGGGGTTGTTCTTGTAGAAAATGGGTGTGCGCTCCTCGACCAGCTTGCGGTTCTTCTCGCTTAACTCAGCTTGTTGCTCGCGAACCTCTTCACTGTTGATTTCAACGGGTGGTGCGCGTACAATTTGTCGCGTGCCTGAGTTCTCCGAATCCGAGCCTTCGTCACTGTCACTGTTATCTTTTTGCGCTTGCTTCTCCTCCAACTGTTGTGCCACCTCTTCGCAATGCTGTTCGTGTCGTGCTGCTTCCTCCTGAGCGTGCTGCTGCTCGGCCCATGTCAACATCGAGCCTGCAGCAGGAATTTTTTTTTCCTGCCGTAAATATACTAGCCATTCTGGCGTGTAGACATCGATGTTAGGAGGAGGGAACTTATCAATATGCAAGAACTCCGCCGCCTTTTCTTGTGTCAGCTGAGCACTTGCAACAACCAAACCTACTTCATCCCACTTCACTACATCCACGCCACCTGTCCTTGATTTCGTCTTCATAGATTCCATCACACTGCCACCAAGTTTTTCGACCAAACCTTGCAGAATTTCGATTCGTTTGCGACCCATATCGGGCCCGAATGGGACCAACAAGACCCGTTTGTCATGCAATAGCAGAGTGCTAGGATCCACAGAGGTTTTTGCAGCGCCACTCTTCGACTTCTTGGCAGCTGGACCTTTGGGCTTCCGCTCCGGAGGCCGTTTTTCAAGTTGCAGGGCACCAATCGTCTTCAGGTCGCGCATTTCCGTCCCAGCTTCTGTGGCTTCAGTTGGACGGCCAACCGATTGTAGTTGCGTTGGCAAACGCTCTTTCTCAGTAATGGCAAATGACTTTGTTGCTTCGCGCCGCGTCCCGTTCGAACCTGCGGTCGTTTGAGAAATGAGAGTTGATTTCGGTCGACGTCTCGGTGGACGTAGCAGTTCCTCGATCTGGGCGAAGAACTCGCGCTTCTGCTGCGCGGAGAGTAGCTCCATGGCTTCGCCACCAAGCGTTTGATAAGTGGAATTGGATTAGCTGAAGTGTTCAAAGACATGGCCGACAATAGTTAGGCAATAACGGTCGTTTACGAAATGAGAAAGTGTTTTGATTGATTTTTTATGATGTGGTTGCATTTCTTAGGTAGTAAGGTACCTCTAAAGTCTCACCGTTATTCTTCACATTGTTGGAATCACGCTGACTGCCCGTTATGGGTCAGCCGCTCCTGCTCTACGTAGCGCCAATCTTCTGTATCTCCATCTTTGGCGCTGTCTCGAAAATGTTGTCGGTGTACTTCTTGCCGTCTTCCTTCCACGTTATACTGACTTCGGAGTCAGCTCAGATGCAACCGTAGCGGTGGTTGGAGTGATCTGCGCTAGCGTCTTCATAACCGCGAGCGCTGTGTTCTTCTTCGCATCTGACTGTTGTGCGAAGCCTTGAGCCATCGACGACGAAAAGTGTGAAAAACGGGAAGAAGATAACCGCGCGAGGCAACTGGTCCACGAAGCGGTGACTTGTATGCGCCAAGCGAAGGTTGGTAGTCCAAAGAATGGCAACCAGTGTGATCACAATACCGTATACAAGGATCGCGAAGCCCTTGGTCATAGCCAATAGTAAAATTGCTCCCAATCGGAACACAAACTGCCCTACGAGAAACACGAAAGCTAAGAACTTCATGCCACTGCCGTCTTCTTTTGCCACGTACGCCGCTGTGCCGCGCGTCAGCGTAATAAATGTCGAGAAGACTGTGAATAGGTCGATAAACTTCCACTTGCGGTAATGAATAGTAGCATTTGCCTGTAGTACGAACAGCGAAATATCACGCACTATAGCCTGAATGAACGTTGCGTACAGTAGTCCGCTTTGAAGCTGCTTGACATGCCCACTAACGTCTCGACTCGTCGCTTCAGTTACAGTGTGTCCACCCACTGTGTGTGTCCGTGAATCGCCTGCATTGTTGATTGGGTCAGCGTCGTCTTGTGCACGTTTATCCTCTCGTTCACCTTTAATACTTGCAACAGCCGAGTAGAGGGTCTCGACGAATACGCGCATTTGAAATAACCCAAGGCAGAAGCCCAGCGCCTTGTTGATCAGCGAGTTGCTGGAGAAGCGATCCGGGTACAGCTTATCTATACCAATCCCCACAATTCCCATGACAATGCCATTCGCAACAAGGAACACGATGGACAGAATGTACTCCTCGACCCAGTTGCGGTTGATGTACTCGTAGTTGAGAATCACGTCCGTCACCACCGTCGACAGCTCGTATGCTGCGCTCGCGACTTCGAAGACAGCGCCAAGAAACATTGCTTACACTTCGGAAAAATATCAAGTCCCACGCGACGAATTCACTTCACTGCCTAATAAGGACGAGCTGCCCGTAACCATGCTGCTGATACAGACACTTTGCTCACTTTTGGTCAAGCTGGGTTCAGCACATTTCATTGGTCAAAGCCCATCGACCATCACTCTTTGTAGTCAAGTGCAAATTACCGCACTTGTCAAAATGGCATCAGTAGAGGATGCCGCGTTGGACCAGAGCGCGGCGCTAGGGCTGTCGTTCACGGCGCTGTGCTCGGTGCTGAAGGCCGTAGAGGCCACACGCAAGAACGATTCCAAGCTGGATATGTTGTTCAGCTCCAGCCTGCGTGCCCAGGTGGGCGGAGGCGACCTGTACCCTCTCATCCGCCTTGTGCTGCCTCAATTAGACCGCGAGCGCACGTACATGCTGAAAGAGAAGAAGATTGCCAAGATCTACATCGACGTACTAGGACTAGCGCCTATTAGTAAGGACGCGCAAAAGCTTGAGCACTTTAACGACCCCAAGATCGTGGACAGCAAGTCCGTGGGCGACTTTGCCGCTGTTTTATTCGACGTTGTGCTGTACCAGAGCGCAAGGACAAAATCCAAGACTCACCACACCTTGGAAGATGTCAACACGCTACTTGACCGATTAGTACAGGCGGACAACAATGCAGCGAGGAAGAAAGTGTTCATGAAGCTCGCGACGGAATATTCTGCTGATGAGCAAAAGTGGATCATCCGAGTGATCCTGAAAGACCTCAAGATCGGACTGAGACACGAGCGTGTGCTAAAGTTTATTCATCCAGACGCAATGGAGATGTATAACCATACAAACGACTTGCATAAGGTGTGCAAGGAGCTACGGAACTCTGCTGTGCGGTATGTTCCTCAGCTCGAGCCGTTCCAAGTCTTCACGCCGATGCTGGCGAAACGAGTGAATTTTGGAGAATGTATCAGCGCGATCAATGCCGACGCATTTGTCATGGAGCCAAAGCTGGATGGAGAGAGAATTACTTGTCATGTGCAGGGAAAAGAAGTGCAGTTTATATCGAGGAACGGAATTAACTACACTGAGAATTATGCACCTTCGATTAAGCCACACGTGCTGTCGCAACTGGAGCCTGGAATCGATTGCATTTTGGATGGGGAGATGATGGTGTGGGACAATACGGAGTATCGACTTCGGGAGTTTGGACTTTTGAAGAATACCGCCAATGCAGTGCGCAAAGGAGAAGCAACGAACCGATGGCTGTGCTACGTGGTGTGGGATGTGGTTTATGTTGGTGGAGGACCGAAAGCCGAACAGTTAATTCGTGAGGTTTTCAAAGATCCTGGTGAAATTAGTGCTGTTATGGGTCTACCGCTCCATGCACGACGCAAGTTACTGCTCCGTATTCTTAAGCCATTAGACCACCGTATTATCATTATTGAGCAGAAGCTCGTTAATGACAAATCTGCAAAGGAACGACATGAAAAGGTTATGGCAGAAGTTGATCAGCAGGTATCAAACGGAGGTGAGGGAGTGATTATGAAAGACTTAAATGCTCATTATATGTGTGGTGAAAGCAGCAGAAAGGCAAAGAAATGGTTGAAGCTGAAGCCAGATTATGCGGGCATGACAACCGACTTGGATGTTATAATTGTCGGCGGATTTTACGGGACTGGAAGACGCCGCAGTGGCAACGTATCTGTATTTCTGCTTGGTGTTTTGGCACATTCGTTAGATGAGAAGAAGGCGGCAGAAGCGACCAAGCCAGGTGCTGCATGCCCAGTGGTGTACACGTTCGCAAAAGTTGGCACCGGATACAATTTGGAAGAGCTGGAGCAAATGCGCCAAGAACTGGAGCCATACTGGCAGCCATGGGACGACGACAATGTTCCGTCGCATTTGAACGGCTGGAAACCGCAAAAGAGCGACCTGAGACCGGATGTATGGATCGATCCTCGGCACTCCAAGATCCTCGAAGTGTACGGGTTTGAGTTGTCATTCACGACACTTTACCAGACAGGACTCACCATTCGATTCCCTCGTTGCAAGGCAATCCGCAACGATAAGGAATGGTATCAGTGTATTGATCTTCAGGATTTAAATGCGGCACGTGGGAGCTTATCTACCAAGCGGGCTTCAGAAGTAGCTTTGGGACAGAAGAGTGCTACGAAACGCATTAAGAAGCGCCAGACCGTCTCAGCTCGGCGTCCAAATGGCGTCCTCCAAGATTACTCCAGGGCGGACTTGGAGGGAATTGAGCAAGAGCGAAACGTGTTCGAAGGAATGGAGTTCTGCGTGCTGCCTGGAAAGTATCAAAAGCCCCCACAAGATCTTGCATCCTCGTTTCCAGACGGGATTTTCGAAAAGAATGCTATGCAATTGTCGAAACAAACGGTCGAAAAGCTGCTGCACTCGTTCGGGGGTGCCATTGTGCAGAATCCGATAGCCGGGTCCACGCACTATGTTGTTGCCGCTGGAGATTCTGGTTTCAAGGTTGTGAATTTGAAGAAGCAGGGGCTGTTCAACGTCGTGCACATCAGATGGGTATTCAATTGTATAGTAGCCTCTCGGTTGGTGTCTCTGAAGGCGGGTGATTTTATTTCTGCTACCGACTTACAACGGCAGCTTCTGGCGAAGGAATATGACCGATACGGAGACCATTTCACGGAACACGTCACTCCGGACGATCTTCGACGTATTCTACAGGAGCTATCGAGTGCTAGTGAGCGTAAGCACACAAGTTTACCTTGGCAGTTCAAGCTGAAAGAACTGGAGATGGAAGAAGCGGAAGCGATGGATAGCGCGTTCACGTTCTTGGCCCATTGCGTCGTGTACTTCCACAACAGCTCTTCTTCAGAAGATAAAGACATTGACGTTCTCGCCATGGGGCAGATGAAGTTAATCGAGCAGCAGCTTAAATTATATGGAGGAGTCGTTGCACGCGAGATCGATTCTTCAGCCACACATGTCGTTGCCGATCCAGCGCAAGTGGAGCAACTGGCTCCCGCCATCAGGAACTTACGCCACCAAGGCTTGCCGGAGCCTCGTGTCGTCACGAAGGAATGGGTTCAGGAATGCGTTGAACAGCGCACACAAGTACCTGACAACAATTTTGTTGTGCATGTGTAGGCCCAACAACATTTAATTTATTTCGCATCCGTCTACATGTAGCCTGCTCGCGCCAATTGAAAGCGAGTTTCCTGTTGTTATATCAGCAAGAATTCTCGGTTTTTACTGGAAATGAGATGCATCAGCGCACCAGTCAAAGTCGCCGAAGTAAAAGCTGTTTTCTTCCTCGTCCGACACAGTACACTGTGGTTCCCGCTCTTCATACACAAGGTGGCCTTCGACTTGTTGCGACGTGAACTGGTCTTCAAAGTTGGACGTGTCCAACTCGCTGGCCAACGTTGGGACGATCGGTGGAGCTACCTGCTTCGTCTCGAGACGGTGCCAGCTTATATTAGCGAAGAACGGATGATCAAAGATCTCCTGCATTCCGTTCGAGCCATTACCCAGACGCTGGTTCGCATCCTTATGCAGTAGTCCGGAGATAAAGTCGCAGAGATCAGGCGAGAAGTGGGTCGGGAAGCTAGGTTCGTCCTCTCCAATCTTTCGGAACAGCGAAGCACGGTCGCGTGGCGAGTAGAACGGCGGATAACCCGTCAGCAACTCGTACACGACGCAGCCGAAGCTCCAGAGGTCAGCAGCCAGACCGTAGCCATCGCCACGCACCACCTCAGGTGCGATATAGTCTGCTGACCCGCAGAAACTCTTGCAGCTTTGCTCCGACCGGGTCATCCGCTCGCGTGCAAAGCCAAAGTCAGCTAGACGTACGAAACCCGCCTCGTCCAGCAAGATGTTCTCAGGCTTAAGATCACGGTACAAGATGCCACGTTCGTGCAGGTAACGCAACGCTAATGCGATGGAGGCGGCGTAGAACAGCACATGGTCTTCTGGAAGGCGGTTCTTGGCGAATTTCTCGAGCAGGAAGTACATGTCGCCCCCAGGACAATATTCGAGCACAAAGTTGAGAGCGTCCGGAGTCTCGAACGAGCAGTACATCTTGGTAATGAAAGGATGACTCACCGAGCAGAGAACCTTCTTCTCCGTCAGTAGCCGCCGAGCTTCACGCGTGGCATTCCTGTCGCCATCGAGACCGTTGATACAGCTGAGTTTCGACTTGTACACGACCTTGACCGCGAAAAGACGATTGGGACAAGCTCGCAAGCGACACAGCAGCACTGTACCGTACGACCCCGAGCCAATGATGCGGACGATGTCGAACACGTACCGTGTCAGATCACGTCCTTCTTCCTCTGACTCTTCTTCGACGGTCTGTGCGAGCTCCAGTAGCTCCTCGATCGAGTGTCTGAGATGGTTCGTCTCTGCATCCGACAGCAGCGTACTCGAAGACGACGACGCTGAGATCGTCAGGCATGATGCTACTGGCTTGAGACTGCTGTACGAACAGTCCCAGTCATTAGTGCCACTCGACGCCTTGGTATCTGCCTCTGAAGGCACTGTACTTGACGACGATGACACTCCGGACGGAGGCTTGAGGCAACTGTAGGAACAGTCCCAGTCGTTGTTGCCACTCGTGGGCTTTTTGTTGCCCTTGAGGGAATTGCCACCGTTCTTCATGGCGTCCTCGAGCGACACCTTGGCGAAGGAACTGGCCAGAAGCTGAGCGAACGTCCACGTCTTGACGTTGCCCCACTTCTTGTAGTCCAGCGCCTTGGGGCTCTTGCTCTTGCTGGGCTTGCTATCCGATGTCCGGGCCCCCGAGTTGTTCTTGAGTGGCGGGAAGATCGGCGCCATCTGGGCCCTTGATGCGTCTCCACCTTACACGACGACAGCTGCTTCGCTCCTCCTGGCCGCGTCTGCGTCCGAGTCCACTGCTTCTTCCTGGATAGAGCTCTGGACAACGCAAAGCATCGAATGGGGCGCTGGGCTCCGGTCTGGTGTGCTGCAATCGATCGGGCTCTCGGGCTGGGGGAGGCTGTTGCAGGTGGCTGCTTTTTCGCTCTTGGCCCACCGAACAGATGTCAAAGTGGCGAGTGACTGGACGAGCCGCGCAGTTATTTTCCCGTGAATGCGCAATTTTAGACCGGCGGTTTTAGGAGCGGAAGAAGATCGACCGTAAAATTTTACTTCAGTAGCTGTTTTGTTTTGGCAGCCGTTTTGAAACGCTGGAGAATCTTTACTTTTTGAAGCGCCCTGCTGGGAGTGAGCTAGGAATGTCCTTAAGACAGGCTTACTAACGTTAGTACTGTACAGTGTACATGTAGGAAGAGGTTCTTCCTGCTTCAGTAGAGCAGGTGACCCTCCTCCGACAGGTGAGCGCAACATTTTCGGGGAATAAACCAGTCATGCTTCTTGTCCGAGCAATCATAGCGTCGCAGATCATGAGCCGCAAGGAAGACCATCCTCAGCAAAAATGTCAGCTGGAGGAAGCCATGCGATTTTCTAGCGGCCATTCCCTATGTCGCTTGTCATTCTTTACAGTTAGAAATCAAGCAACATTCAACGCCTGGGAATCCATTGTCGTGGCTGCCAGAGAAGCATTATGTAAGCACCGAGCTGTCATTTACAACAAAGTAAAAATATCTAGAATGATGATTACGTACAGAGGGAGGTTCTTTAGACTCAAATCTAAAGTTTAGACTCTAAACTTTAGAGGAACTTCAACAACGATATTCTGTCGCAAGTAAAAAAACTCAGTAAAGCGACATTGTTTGACCTTGCGGTGCTGCCGTTTCACAAACTTCAACACGACCTTCACTCCTCCATAGCTTCAATGTGACCTTCATTCCGCTCGGCATGGATAGGCGTAAGCTATACAAGTACCTAAGCTACAAGCTTTGACACCTAAACGTCAACTGCTACCTGGAGTTTGGTAGCCGTGCCCTTAAGATCAACTCCGTCGCGGCAGCGCGTGGCCGCGTTGTAAAGCGCCCACGACCGCGACAATCCGTCGTCCATGGTGGCGTTCTTCAGCTTGTGCAGCGAGTCCATGGGGTTGACCGTGGCAGCGTTCACCAACAGTAGCGAGAGCCACGTGTTGTTGCTGTTCTTCATGGTGACTATGCGTTCCTTGGACAAAATGTCGTTCCACTCCTGCTCCACGAACTCGGACGTGCGCGCCAACTCGTTGACGGGGGACACCGGTATCATTTGGATACCATGAATCGCATATACCTCGTCGAGGAACCACGTGTTGTAGTACACCTTGTTGTCGAAGAAAATGCCCGTGACGTGGTTGCGGACAATCTCCGGTGGGTGGACAGTGTTATCCGACTTTAGCAAGAAGTACGTCCGAATGGCGTGTGCATTCAGACGCAACATCAGACTTCCGAGGTCCTCCATTGCCTTGTGCCCCGTAACTTTTCCCCATAGCGTCATTCCGTAGTAAAAGTTAATGTCCTCAGAGGTGCTTTCCTCATCCTTGCCGTGGTCGAGTAGCGTTACACCACGTGAATACGAGTGGCCATGGTACCAGGAGAAGTGCCGGAAGCGAGGAAAGTAAGGATCTTCCAAGCTCGGATTGGCGACATCGCGCAGCATCGTCCAAATAATTCTCTCGAGCTCTGGCATACGAGACCAGTTTGGGTCCAGGTGTTTTAGAATTGCCGATGCTGTCACATAGTAACCGAAGTGGTAGTGGTGGTCGTTGTAGACTCCGCTGCCGAAGTCCATGTACAGCCATCCGTTCTCGAAGATTAAGCTCGAGACAATTCCACTATACAGAGTCTCGTAGACAAGAGGTGGCGACAAAGTGTTGTTTAGCATCGGCTCGATCATGGTTTCCAGCTTTTCCAAACAATAAGTAAGCAATGTTGTATCCGTCCCAACAACGGAGCTATCGGCTGCCATCAGACATAGTGACGCATACTTCTGAAAATACTTGCCGTTGTAGTACCAACTGTTTGCATTCATTGACCAGTTTGCGATGATGTCTTTCTGCAGAGTCTTCAGCATATCTGTCTGGAGAACCACCCAAGGAGTCGGCTTTCGCGCAGGATAGAAATCCACCTCGAAGTCCGCCTCAGGTTCTACGAAGGACCATAATGTCGAAATTTGGCCAACCATCTGCCCTCGCGTGGTGGAATGAAGAATGATAGCGCCAGGACTTGCCATCTTGGTCGCAGACCCACTCATCGACTCTATCTGGTGTGGCAGTGCGAAGTGCAGCAGACCCGCCGATTCGCAAGTACTGCCTTCTGTATCCCAATGCAACGAATAATCCGTGCACGATTCCATTGAAACACTGCCACCACGCACCACACATCCTGCGTACTCATCATAGATTGTGTCTTCCGCTTCCTCCGGGAGTATCGCCACTCGGATCGTGCCAGAGTACCCCTTGTCCGCCACCAACGACGACCCCGAAGCGTTTACAGAGAACACGACTGATTCCTCTACACGCAGCGACAGGCTCTTGTCACTCGCGTACAATACCCACGTCTGACTATTGTTGAGATGAATGACAAACTTGCCCGGTGCCGAGTCGTCCATGTACGTGATACTGTGTTCGGTATCGATGCGTGGCGTGAGTCCGTCGTATTTGGCCGACACGAATGCCATTCCACTCAGGAGTGCCGAATCCATGCACCCACCACTACCAGGGTCACACGTACGGAGCTTGATACCAATATCATCCCATTCGTACACTTCGTACTTGGGTTTTGTCTCGTTGAACTCTTGCGCGGAGAGCGTAAGGTCATTGTGAATACCGTGAGAGTACCACTTAACGGTGTTGTTAACCTCCGGTGCCATTTCACGATATGTGTAGGGGTAACACGCTTGCACGCCAAACGGAGCTACCTTAGGCAGAAATATAGAGTATGGCTGAGCCCACGCGGGGAAGTTCTCCGACCTATTGGTAGCAGTCACGTGAATCAAGTTGCCCCACCATTTGTTAGTTGGAATCGGTTGGTTGAGTGCTTCCTTAGCAACGTTGATGATCGGAGCAAGTTTTGCGAGACTACCATTTCGCTTAAAGAGTTCTTCGGATGGCTCATCCGTGCCGAACGGCCCAAAGAACTCACCGCTTATGGGGCTTTGCTGAGTACTCGCTGGAGCGTTGGGACTCAGAGTACCGATTAGCTTTTCGGTGGCACCCTCCACAGTTCCGTCGAGGAAGTTGAAACCTTCGCCAACATCAGGATCATCAACCGTAGCTACCACGTTACGTGTCGCCATCGCAATAGCTACAATAGCTTGAGCCCACACCGACAGCTTCATCTCGCTCGCCTTCCCGCCGTGCGTAACTATTCGAGAGAGGACTGTGAGTGCGCAGTAAGCGGCTAGCGCGCAAATGGCGAGGGCGTTCAGTCCTGAACTCACTGAGTCTCAGGGTAAGAAACTTGGATAGGCCTAGCTCCCTGTCTCCATCGCCACATTTTTTCGACCCTATGAAATTCAAAGGTGACCAAGTCGTACATACCCAGGGTATGATACCCTGTACGGTCGGAGGGATTACTCTAAGAGTAAACTGTGTTGAGCTTGTAATGTTGCAGTACTGGTTTGAGCGATGACCGGTTGCGCTGTGATTCACTGTGTGAATCATAGCGTACGAATATTAGTTAAACTCTTAATGCTCAATATTTAAAAATATGTAAGTAGTAATTTGTGGATTTTCTGCACATTAAGTCCAATAAGAACAAGCGAAGCACGATTTTTTTTCAAAGTTACCGGTAGGGGTTTTCACTTTGAATTGAAGGGAAATTGTTTACAGTTATAGTTTTATTGTGGCGTCGTAGCGCAACTCGCTTCAGCAAACGTTCAGCCTTTGGATTCCAAATAGGGAAGAGCAAATTCATACGATTGGCTTTTGTGTGGGTGAGGAGCTTAACAAAACAACGACTCCAACGAGTGTACAGTACCGGTACTGTACCTGTAATCTGAGCTTCCTCTTGCCCAACACTTGCCGAGAGCTCAGCGAGAAGAGCATGCGCTCTGTCGGAGGTGACTAAGGTTTAGCGTTGGCATCGCCCAGGCATCTCGGTGAGGTACAGGTACAGCAATAGCTCCACTCGAAATAATGAAAGCCACGTCGGCACTGTACCTTTCATGAACTACTGTACAACAACTCGTCGCCAACTTCACGTTTTGAGAGCGAAAAAATCAATTTCCCATTTTTAAAGCCCAGTTTAATCGCCCAGAGCTACAATTGAGACTTCATCGTGGAGTGTTCCATTGCACTCTATACTGTAGTAGTTCTCACGAAAACTATCAACAGCTTCATCCTTACACCTTGACGGTCAGTTGAGCGGCAGCAGTCGTGTTGACGTGGACCTCATCACGGCAGCGAGTGGCAGCGTTGTAGAGCGCCCAAGACCTCGACAAACCATCATCCATCGTTGCGTTCTTCAGATTGTGCAATGACTCCATGGGGTTCACCGTTGCTGCATTCACAAGAAGGAGCGAGAGCCACGTAATGGTGGTGTTCACCTCAATGACAATTTGCTCCTTTGACAGGATGTCGTTCCATTCTTGCTCCACGAACGTCGAGGTACGAGCCAATTCGTTAATGGGGGACACTGGGATCATTTGGATACCGTGAATGGCGTACTTCTCATCCAGGAACCACGTGTTGTAGTAGACCTTGTTGTCAAAGAAAATACCCGTGACGTGGTTGCGGACAATCTCAGGTGGGTGAATCGTGTTGTCTGAGGTCATTAGAAAGTACGTGCGGATGGCATGCGCATCAATACGAAGCATTAAACTTCCAAGATCCTCCACCGCCTTGTTACCCGTCACGCGGCCCCACAACGTCATACCGTAGAAGAAATTGATATCCTCCGACGTGCTCTCCTCATCCTTGCCGTTATCAATCGATGTCACACCGTGAGAGTACGAGTGACCCAAATACCACGAAAAGTGACGGAAACGAGGAAAGTATTTGTCATCCGCGCTTGGGTTCACAACGTCACGAAGCATCGTCCAGATGATCTGCTCCAGCTCCGGCATGCGTGACCAGTTCGGGTCCAGGTGCTTAAGCATAGCCGATGCCGTGATAAAGTAGCCGTAATGGTAGTGGTGGTCATTGTACATGCCGTTACCAAACTCCAAGTAGATGCTGCCTGTCTTGAAGATCGAGCTCGAGATGATGCCGCGGTACAGCGTATCGTACATGAGAGGAGGCGACAGCGAGTTGTTCAGCACCGGCTCAATCATCTTCTCCAGCTTCTCCAGACAGAACGATAGAAGCAGTGTGTCCGGGCCAACCACCGAGCTGTCTGCTGCCATCAGACACAACGACGCGTACTTCTGGAAATATTTGCCGTTGTAGTACCAGCTATCGGCGTCCCAATCCGACCAGTTGCCCATGATATCCTTCTGCAGCGTACGCAGCATGTCGGTCTCCAGAACAATCCACGGCGACGGCTTACGGGCAGGGTAGAAGTCCACCTCGAAGTCTGCTTCGGGCTCCACGAACGACCACGTCGGGTTCGTCGTCACCTGACCCACCATGAGACCACGCGTAGCTGAGTGCATCACGATCGCTCCAGGACTTGTCGTCTTGGTCGGAGATCCAGTCATCGACTCGACCTGGTGTGGCAGAGCGAAGTGCAGCAGACCCACTGACTCACACGTACTTCCCTCGACGTCCCAGTGGAGCGAGTAACCCGTGCGTGACTCCATCGATACACTACCACCCATCACCATACAAGAGGCGTACTCATCATAGACGGTGTCATCAGTCGCGTCTTCCGGAAGGAGCGCCACTCGGATCGTGCCAGAGTACCCCTTGTCCGCCACCAGCGACGACCCCGAAGCGTTCACAGAGAACACGACTGACTCCTCTACACGCAGTGACAGGCTCTTGTCACTCGCGTACAATACCCACGTCTGACTGTTGTTGAGATGAATGACAAACTTGCCCGGCGCCGAGTCGTCCACGTACGTGATATTGTGTTCGGTATCGATGCGTGGCGTGAGTCCATCGTACTTGGCCGACACAAACGCCATTCCACTCACCAATGCCGAGTCCATGCATTTGCCTGTGGTCTCGTCACACGTACGCAGTTTGGCACCTCCTTCGTCCCATTCGTACACTTCGTATTTGGGCTCGTATGAGAAGAACTCCTCCGACGACAATGTCAGATCGTTATGGTACGAGTGGTTGTAGTACTTGACAGTTCCGTTGACTTCTGACCCGATCTCGCGGTACGTGTACGAGTAGCAGGTCTGCAATCCGTACGGCGCTTCACGTGGCAGCTTCACCGCGTACGGGTTCGACCAGGCAGCGTAGTTGGACACGTTTTTGAGGTCTGTGACGTGGATGAGGTTGCCCCACCAGTCATTGGTAGGAATGGGCTGGTTGAGCGCTTCCTCGGCGACGTTGATGATCGGCACGATTTTCTCGAGGCTGCCATTGCGTTCGAAGAGTTCCTCGGAGGGTCCGTCCGTGCCAAACGGTGCGAAGAATCCACCGCTGGTCGAGCCTTGATGAGAAGTGATAGTTTCGGCGGGAGCGTTGGGGGCAAGTGTTCCGATCAATTTATCGGTTGCACCGCTCACCGTGTCTTGCAGAAAGTTGTATCCTTCACCAACGTCGGGATCGGCATGTGAAGCTGCAACTCGACGAGCTGCTACGGCAACTACACCAGCTTGCAAAAGAGCGAGGACCTTCATGGTATCCGAGTTTTATCTCGTTTGTCCGTGACAGTAAGGAGTTCTTGTTAAGGGCAGAAGCTGGAAAGGGACTGTGCAACTGAGTGCGCAGTAGGCCGCAAGCGTGTGTTTGACATGTGAGTTCACACCAGCTGATTTCCTGAAGCTTGCGCACATACATGACCAGACGATCCTCTTTGGAGTGATAGTACTTCTTCGAAGTACATGTATTTTTTTATTAGCCACTAAATAGCTACTAGATGTATTTATACTAACAAAAATACAACGGTAGCAAATTAATACATGTCCTGGACTCAAAGTGACGTTCAGTCAGAAACGCTTACTAAAATAAGGTAGCTAAAACATCTCAACTCCAAGGCTTATGCGGAAAAAAAAACCCAGGCTAGTTACAGAAGTCCCTCAAAGTAAGCGTCACCTACTTACGTAATACCCCGCCATATCTGCTACGGTACATACAGGTTCAGCTGGCCAATCACAAAAATGCACTGATTTTGGCGGGAAAGATGACCGGTCCGGCCTCTTCGCTAAGTAAACCATTGAAAGACTGAGAATAGAGATTAAATGTACGAGGTAACATATGCTCCCGCTACGTACGCCTCCCTCCATGCACACTATCACTCTTCCAAGCGACCATGACCGCCAGCCCCATGCCGCGCCGGATCCGCCTTAATATGGAGCAGAAGATCGCCATGTGCAAGTATGCGAAGGATATGCGCGCCAGAGGCAAACTGTCCAACACACAGCTCGCAGCGTGGGCAACACGTGCGTTCAAGCTGGAAAAGCTCACATATACGACCCGCCATTGCATTGAGCAATGTACGTCTGGAGTTTTTGCCCAAGAATACGACTTCGTGTTTGCAGCCGCTGGATCAAGGCATTATTCGAGCCTTAAAGAGTAAGTACAGGGATTTAAAGGTACTTGATTGTGTCGACCGCTTTTTACGGGACCAAGAGAAAGTTGATATCTACACCGCTCTTTGTTGGAGTAAGATGGCCTACGACGAGATCTCGCCCAAAACCATTCAAAACTGCTGGCGGCACGCAGGTATTCTGTCGGACAGGAGCAAGATCGCCTCGCTTCTTAACTAAATATCAGTACATTTAAAACATCTGTTTTATCACCCCCCCCCCCTATAATCATTTGCGAATGCTGGTGGCCTTTCTCTTGCTAAGTTAGTACAGTCGTGCACCTCGTATTCGGCGGGGTGGACCATATAGAGTCTACGAGCTGCGAATATTTATAGAGGAACAGATGGAATCCAAATGTACTACTTTGTATTACTTAATTAAGTACAAATCTCAAATCCATCTTCGACACAAAACCAGTGTGATTCCAACAGTTTCGTATGGTCATTGTCGATACGTCTTGCCAACCTTCTGAGCACCACTTCATCGCTGTATAAATACTGACGGGGGTATACTTCTCGCCTTTGTAAAACATGTCCAGCTTGGCCTTCTGCTTCTTAGCACGGTAGTGGTCCTTGAGACTTTTAATAATGCCTCGATTCAATGTAGAACGGGCGACGTGCCATGGCGTTTTGCAACAAAATTTATAATGAGCTGTTGTATGGTGAAGTGATTGAGCTGATAGAAGTGCGGCGTTTCATCCCTCCTCGAGGAGGGGAATACCATTGAGCCAAAGGAGATGGGCAACTCATTTGCGCAATGCATGTAGCGCAATCATTAGATTGTGCAGGTTATTAAGCCATACCGGGGCCGAAAACGAGGTGCATGACTGTACTTGTATTAATACTTCAGAAGTACTGTCATATTGACATACAGTTGGTGAAAGCAGGGCTGTGCAGTAATCCGGCCCACCAGTAGAAAATAGTACTATAGTACTATTACTATTACTATAGTACTCAGTAACTCGGCCAATTTTGATACTACTGTTACAGCAGTACTCAGTAACTCAGATTGGAGCTCGGATAGTACTATCGAATTACTGCCAAGATCCAGAAGAAGAAGGAACACGCTCCGTTTTGACCACCACACTGGATTTCTGAATGGCTTGATCACTAAGCTGTATGCGGCATCGGTATGTCTATCGTGTCATGTTCCCGTCGTTTTCTTCACTCGAACACGACGGGTTTGCAAGTTGAATGGCTGCTGGTGAGCCTTCAAGCACAATTGCAAAGTAATTTCGCTCAGCGAGTCCTGTTCGGGTCTGATGCGCAGGCCAGTCTCATTTACTTGCGATCTGAGCGAGCTTTCACTCACTTTGCGATTTTCATTGCGACCCAGACTTCCTATCCAGCCCGCTCAACGCCTCTCTCGCGCCAATGAAGTGCTCTTTTGTTGGATGTGACTACCCCGACATCGCGATAACGGATCCTTGCTCCGTTTGCCAAAGGCCGGTCCATCATCTCTGCTCTAACAGCCTATACGACCCGGACAACATCGCCGTGCGGTAAGTAATCTTTACACATTATAGGTATTCTATGGTTGAATTCACTTTACTAACAGATGCGTTATAGATTTTGCAGCGCGTCGTGTGTCACGAATTGGAGAGCCAAGAATCTGTCTGCGGGGACTGTTGCTGCGGACGATCGGCGACATACCTTCGAGATTGTGGGGTGGGCGCCTGAATCATCTCAAGAACTTGCCGTTAGCCAGGACTCTACGGATACGACGGAGCTACTGAGCAGCCATTCGTCGGAGGCAACGTTGCCGCCCGACAGTCCTGTTGGCGTGGACTCATACGGGATCCCGATTATTGTGCATCACTTCCGTGAACCTGGTAAACGCGATAACGTGTGGGACGTGGCACATGTACTCGCAACTCCCTATGCGGTGGGTGATGATGATGATGCTGATCGATTCACCCATATATGCATTCTATGTGCGGCAACCGCCACCAGCCAGGCAAACCACCCCGGAGATGCGTGTATGAGCGGGCTTCGGCGTTGGAGTCACACTTCCAATGCCAAGAACCACATGGTCTCAAAACATGGCAAGCATCCGGTCGGTATGGCTGAGATGCAGAAGCGAGTCAAGCGAGCTCGGAACCAACTTGTGTCGACCCCTGGATACTTTTCTCGCAGCATTGTCGATTCATCTGCCCACTTGTCGTCCCAGGCGCCAATGGCAAAACGAGGTGCACTGTAAAGGTTATGGGGCCCGACGGCAAAGGAGCTTAACGTGCACATTGCCAGGTGGTTGCTCAATGACGGTCTACCGTACAGCACGGTGGTAACAGAAGACTTCCGCAACTTTGTTCGCTTGATTTCGGGGAACACTACCGTTCTCGCCCAGAGGACCTATTATGGTATGATGGATGCCTCGTTCGAACGGTTTTGTTTCTTGGCAGGGGGTATGCTTTCCGCTGAATTCAGGGCCTCGTACAACCTGCCCTTCCTCAATGTGCTGCATGACGGCTGCACCACCGGAAGTGGTAAAAAGGGGCTAGTCGGAACTTCTGCAAGTTTCATTGACTTGAGCTGGGAGCTCGTCAATATCGCGCTGTTGGTCACCGTGTACAACGGCTCACATGACTCGTGCAAGATCAAGACGCTGATCACTTCTAGGTTTTAAGAGTTCTACGGGATCGACATCGAGTCAATGGCGCAATTTACGATGTCTGATACCGCGCCTAGCGCCAAGAAGGTCTCGAAACTATTTGAGGACTCGCTACCGACGGACTGCACCATGCATGTCTTGAATCTGTGCCTTGTATACGGTATGGGCATGCGGGAGAACTATGAGACTGTCTATCTGCTGAACCCCACGACAAACAAGCCGAAAAAGGAGCGGCGCTTGTGCACGGTTGGCGGACCATTTCCGGAGAGAGCCACCTTGATCAAGAAGGTTCGAAGTCTGAACAACTACTTTAACTCACCGCAAAGGGCTGAGCATCTCGCCAAGGTGCAGCAAATCTACTGTCTCCCCGAATTGAAACCAATCGTCGATTGTGACACTCGCGTAGCATCCTCCGTAACTCTTTTCCAGCGCACTATCCTCAATTACCCCGCGCTCAAAGCATATTTCCAGCACTGTGAGAGTTACGACGATTCGGCCGTATTCGAAAAGTTCACATTCAGTGAGTGGAGACTGCTAGTAGAAGTTGAAGCGATCACGCACTCGTTGGCTGACCTCGCGCGCATTGACGTACAGCGCAGCAACCAAGTCTCATCAGAGCTTATCGTTTTGATGAAGTATGCGCTTGACCGGCTCGCCACAGACACATTCCACATCTACGATCTCGACGCTGCGAGATCACCAAAGACAAACGAGAAGTCACTTCCCCGTAACGATGTTCAGATTGACGCACTCTCAGACAAGGCCATGATTTGTGTGAACCGGACTAAGGGGCAAGTTATGAAGAGGCTGCCCACGCTTACGGCTGAGTCGGTGGTTATCTTGTTGCTCGACCCCCGAACGAAGTTCACGGTCGACAGTCTCATTCATCCTCCAAAGCTACGCCAAGAAGCCGCCGTTGGTGGGGTTGTCTCTGGTGAAGGCTCCGATGATACCGCTGGGCTCGCAGAAGACGCAGGTGATGTGAATACCGTTATAAGCAAGGGCAAGCAAATGCTTCGCAACGCACACCGAGAAGTTTTTCGGGCAATCCACGGTTCCAACACGAATAACAGTCTGCACACGGACGTGGATACACCACCGAATCTGGACTTGGTACCGTCGGTTGACGACGAGTTAGTGATGTGTGGCGCGTTATTGGTTGCTTCATCTTCAAGCAACACGCCTGTGGCCAGCCTTCACGACCGAGCCGATGAGGTCCTTGCGAAGTGGTACCAGCACAGTGTGAACTGGGTACCCGCTGCGCTCCAACAAGCATCGGACGACCGGTTGACGGAAGCAGACTTCACCAAGTTACTCCTAGTCCGACGCAGAAACGACGTTTGCTGGATCTTGCAAGCTCTATGCGAGCACATCGACATTTGCCATTGGTACCGTGAGACTGGGGCTGCAACATTCCCGTCAATTGCTGCTCTTGCCCGTGTATGGCTAGGCCGGAGCCCCTCGAACGCCTTCCAAGAGCGTGTCTTCTCAACGGGAGCCTTTGTCATGGGACCTCTACGTACAAGCACAGACAACCGTCGAGCTGAGATCCAGGTGCTGATGAAGCACAACCGTGCGGAGTTTCGGCGAATGGAGCATGCGAGCATCCGCGTTTGCGAGAAGCAGCGTCCCTCTAGTTTGGTCGAGCAGCGGGAGCACAAGCGAGAGTGTGGACCGCACAAGCGAGAGTGTGGACCACACTTGACAATATTAAGCTGGTCGTAAGCAGTAGTTAGATAGTACTACAGTACTTCTACTAAGTAGTTCAGGCGCCGTGAATCGAGTTACTGAGTACTGCAGTAGGTTTCAGCTTTGCATCCTTCTACTGCCGCCAGTACTTTGGAAAAAGTGGCAGTACTGCACAGCCCTGGGTGAAAGGTTCAGTTGCTAAGCAGAAAACCGTTTTGAGCCACAAATTTACAACCATGTGAAATCGATCTATCGTTCTTGAAGGGCTGTCCATCATCAAGCCCAAAAATGAGAACAAGAGGTGAGCTCCATAAGGAATGTAAACTGAAACGCAAGCCTTGACATTGGAAAGATGCAAGGCAGAAATATTTACAAAACTCATGCTGGCAACCAAAACTTCACCGTCATTGAATTTTGTGCATCTAACGGTAGCGAAAAGGATCAGTGTTACGTTCCTGCGCTAAGTACTCAAACGAGTTACTACAACTGAACTGTCAACTCGATAGTTGCGGCCACGTGTACATCCACATCGTCTCTGCAACGAGTGGCTGCATTGTACAGTGCCCACGATCGCGAAAGACCATCATCCATGGTGGCGTTCTTTAACTTGTGAAGTGAATCCATCGGGTTCACTGTAGCAGCATTGACCAGTAGAAGCGAGAGCCACGTGTTGTTGCTGTTCTTCGAGATCACAATGCGTTCCTTAGACAAAATGTCATTCCACTCCCGCTCCACGAACGTCGAAGTACGGGCTAACTGGTTAATGGGGGACACCGGGATCATTTGGATACCGTGAATGGCATACTTTCGGTCAAGGAACCAAGTACTATAGTACACCTTGTTGTCGAAAAAGATGCCCGTGACATGATTCCGCACGATCTCGGGCGGATGAATCGTGTTGTCCGACTTCAACTAGAAGTACGTGCGGATGGCATGCGCATCAATACGAAGCATTAAACTTCCAAGATCCTCCACCGCCTTGTTACCTGTCACGCGGCCCCACAATGTCATACCGTAGAAGAAATTGATATCCTCCGACGTGCTCTCCTCATCCTTGCCGTTATCAATCGATGTCACACCGTGAGAGTATGAGTGACCCAAATACCACGAAAAGTGACGGAAACGAGGAAAGTATTTGTCATCCGCGCTTGGGTTCACAACGTCACGAAGCATCGTCCAGATGATCTGCTCCAGCTCCGGCATGCGTGACCAGTTCGGGTCCAGGTGCTTAAGCATAGCCGATGCCGTGATAAAGTAGCCGTAATGGTAGTGGTGGTCATTGTACATGCCGTTACCAAACTTCAAGTAGATGCTGCCTGTCTTGAAGATCGAGCTCGAGATGATGCCGCGGTACAGCGTATCGTACATGAGAGGAGGCGACAGCGAGTTGTTCAGCACCGGCCAATCATCTTCTCCAGCTTCTCCAGACAGAACGATAGAAGCAGTGTGTCCGGGCCAACCACCGAGCTGTCTGCTGCCATCAGACACAACGACGCGTACTTCTGGAAATATTTGCCGTTGTAGTACCAGCTATCGGCGTCCCAATCCGACCAGTTGCCCATGATATCCTTCTGCAGCGTACGCAGCATGTCGGTCTCCAGAACAATCCACGGCGACGGCTTACGGGCAGGGTAGAAGTCCACCTCGAAGTCTGCTTCGGGCTCCACGAACGACCACGTCGGGTTCGTCGTCACCTGACCCACCATGAGACCACGCGTAGCTGAGTGCATCACGATCGCTCCAGGACTTGTCGTCTTGGTCGGAGATCCAGTCATCGACTCGACCTGGTGTGGCAGAGCGAAGTGCAACAGACCTACCGATTCACACGTACTGCCCTCGACGTCCCAGTGGAGCGAGTAACCCGTGCGTGACTCCATCGATACACCACCACCCATCACCATACAGGAGGCGTACTCATCATAGACGGTGTCATCAGCCGCTTCCTCCGGGAGTATCGCCACTCGGATCGTGCCAGAGTACCCCTTGTCCGCCACCAACGACGACCCCGAAGCGTTCACAGAGAACACGACTGGTTCCTCTACACGCAGCGACAGGCTCTTGTCACTCGCGTACAATACCCACGTCTGACTGTTGTTGAGATGAATGACAAACTTGCCCGGCGCCGAGTCGTCCACGTACGTGATATTGTGTTCGGTATCGATGCGTGGCGTGAGTCCATCGCACACAAACGCCATTCCACTCACCAATGCCGAGTCCATGCATTTGCATGTGGTCTCGTCACACGTACGCAGTTTGGCACCTCCTTCGTCCCATTCGTACACTTCGTATTTGGGCTCGTATGAGAAGAACTCCTCCGACGACAATGTCAGATCGTTATGGTACGAGTGGTTGTAGTACTTGACAGTTCCGTTGACTTCCGACCCGATCTCGCGGTACGTGTACGAGTAGCAGGTCTGCAGTCCGTACGGCGCTTCACGTGGCAGCTTCACCGCGTACGGGTTCGACCAGGCAGCGTAGTTGGACACGTTTTTGAGATCTGTGACGTGGATGAGGTTGCCCCACCAGTCATTGGTAGGAATGGGCTGGTTGAGCGCTTCCTCGGCGACGTTGATGATCGGCACGATTTTCTCGAGGCTGCTATTATGTACAAACAGCTCCTCGGACGGTTCGTCGGTACCGAATGGTACGAAGAACTCACCACTGGTCGGACCTTGTTGGGCAGTAGTCGTTGTTGCTTGAGCGTTGGGGGCAAGCGTTCCGATCAATTTCTCGGTTGCGCCCCTGACGGTATCTTGCAGGAAGTTGTAGCCTTCTCCAACGTCTGGGTCCGTGAGCGACGCGGTGGCGCAACGAGCAGCAAGTGCGACCAGCGTCGCCTGTAGCAAGGTAACCTTCTTCATGGTATCTGAAGCTGCTTCTCTTCAACGGTAGCTGTCGTTAAGTCTTGTTGCAGAGGACTGTGCACGGAGTGCGCAGTAAGTGGCAAGCGTGAAAATGAAGACCGAAGGCCGAAACGATCGCTATAACGTAATCCCACGTGACTGGATGGGATTCCTTGTCAGACAAGTTGTCTACAGCGGATAAAAAATACCGTAGCTCATGGGGAGTCCTTCGCCATGCTTTGCATGGTAAAGGTAGGGTGAATCGGATACTCGTGGCTAGAATGCAGTGAAGTAATGGATTATGCTTTCCAACTTGTACTCAACAAATTACCCCTGATCACTCAAGTGAGGCAGCTTCGATACCGTCCTGTGATTTGCATCGTGCTTGCATGTTTTTCAAGTCCGACCGTTCTATTTTGTAAGCTACACCTTTTCCAAAAATCTAACATTCATTTCTTAGAGAGGTTGAGCAAACCGGTGCAGTGTTTTTTAGAGTCACCGCTGCTTAAGTACAGTAAAATATCTTAAACATCAATGGTGGGCTGCTTCCCAGTGTCGTAGTTTGAAACACCGAAGTTGTCGTTGGACGGCATCGCTCCTGCGTAAGTAAAGTTTGTGTGAAGGGAAGGCAATCCCTGCACACCTGCTCCACGAACCATACTTTTGCAATCGACGACATCGAAATTCGGTGCTCATTTGTTCTGGTATCGCAAGAAAAACTGTTTACAGTATTTGGTACTATATAGTACTGTACGGTTGAGAACGGGCCTAAGGCAGTGTTCTTTGAGCAGCTCACGGGTTGTGCTCTCGGATAGAAAACGCAACCATTCCCTGTTCGAGATTTGCTCGACATTTGCCAGGGACTACATCAGAGCCACAGATCATGTTACCGATACCTCGAAAGGCGCAAGACGTTGTCTCGCATCTCAATGCAAAGAAGAATTACCTAAAACAAAACAGAAGGCACATGTCACGAGCTTTACCGGTTATTAATAGTGTCACCGAATATATTTTTTTACGGAGCTTGCCGGCATTGCCACGTGTGGTGACTTAAGAAAACCCCAATGACCCCAGGGCTAACCCGATAAAGTTTCACGATTGTTTTACTAGTACTTAGTAGGTAATCTCAGGTTTTAAAGGTTAACCTTTTATTAAATAGTTTAGAATCGGAAAGTCTCTGATGCGGACACTATCCTAGCACTTAAGTCTAAGAACAGCTTACCTGTTCTCCGGTAGTTCGGCTACATGTAGTAGACGTGGCTACCACCCCTAGATCGAAAAGCGACGCCTGCACTTGCTCCAGTAGGTTACCCGGCTTCTGACGGAGTCAAGCTTCGCAAACCGGATGATTAGTTTTTGCGTAGGGACTTGAGTAGCACCGCAGTTGCTTTCACCGTTGTTGTCGAGGAAGCCGACTACGGTAGAGCGAGAGGGAATGGGGTGGCTGGGAAGCGGGGTCCCAACGTCCAGACGAATACCGAAAGCGCGTCAACAATTGCTGTTGATGTGCAGTGATGATAAATAAGTTGCCCCATCAACAAGGTGTGTTATGCTCCTGGAGCTGGTTGCTTATTAATAGCTGCGTAGTTTGCATTTTACAATCGACCCTCTGACCAACATCATCCGAGCAGCGGCAATGGCTTCCCCGCAGACCTTCCACGCATACCAGTTCGAGAGCTATGGCCCAATGGACAAGACTCTTTCGATTCACTCCGACAGTCCGCAGATGCATGTTGGCCCCAACCAAGTACGCATCAAGATGCACAGTGCATCCGTGAATCCCGTCGATTATATGATCTTGGAATTCGCTGGAGAAGCGTTTTTGAAGCGATCTCCGTCCTCGGACAACCCCTTCACGATCGGTATGGATGGCGCTGGAGATGTTGTGGAGGCCGGTAGTTAGGTTACAACTCTGAAGGTAGGCGATGGTGTCTACACGATGCTGCCGTTCAGCAGCTTCGGCACGGTCGCCGAGTATGCCGTTGTCAGCGAAGAGTTCGTTGCGATCAAGCCAAGCAACCTGGACTTCGACGAGGCAGCGGCCGTGCCTCTCGTGGCCCAGACCGCCTACCAGGGTATGTTCGAGCACGCCAAACTGCAAAAAGGAGAGACCGTGCTTATCTTTGGAGGTAGCAGCTCAGTAGGCATGTACGCTGTGCAATTCGCGCATGCCATCGGCGTCCGTGTGATCACTACAGCTAGCGCCGACAAAGCTGACTTCTTGAAGTCTCTTGGCGCCAACCAGGTCATTGACTACAGAACAGAGAAATGGCAAGACGTGGTGGAGCCACACTCCGTTGACGCTGTCTACAACTGCGGCATGGAGAACGAGGCATGGAACGAGGGTGCTCAGAATGTGTTAAAGAAGAGCACGGGGCGTTTCGTGACGATCCTGCCGATGGCCCAGCCCGTGAAGGAATCTGAGTTTGGCGCGAAGCTCGTTGGCCACGTGCATGTCGATCCTTCGGCCAAAACGCTAGGCGAAATTACCAAGTACGTTGAGAGCGGCAAGGTGAAACCCATCATCGACACGATCTACCCATTCGAGAAGGCGCTGGACGCCTACTCGAAACTCAAATCTCGCCATGCTTTGGGCAAGTTAGTGGTCAAGGCTAAGAGAGCTAAAAGATACTGCGTACCTTTTAGCTGCGACTACTCAACTAAAAACAAAGTCCCAATCGCTCAATTTAAGTGCAAAAGTTTGGCATACTTAAAGTAGCTGCTTTTCGAATCACGCTCGGCGGAAGCAACCCAAAAAGTAGTATGTTCAAGCTAAAGTGAAGTGGGTAAATCACGAATACTTCCGTCGGTGACTTCTGGCAGCGTAATGTGACGCGAACTCTGGGAATCGATCCCTGTCGTCCGAGGCAATATCGATATCGATGTCGCTCAGCGTGATCGATAGTTGCAATTTCATGTCAATCAGAATCATCAGCTCGCCGGTCAAATTCTCGATGTCCTGCTCTAGGGTCTCAATCCGCGCCAAAGCCTTCGCGTTGCCAACATTAGTCCTTTTCTTGTTACTGAGTCTTGCTGGAGACACGTGGGCTTCGTTTGCATGCTCGAACGCCGCACGAGCAGCAGTGACTTGCTGCTGTTTGCGTTCGATGAGATGCATGGTTTCGCGCAGCCGGACTCGATTTTTGAGTTCACACTGCTCCCTCGGACAGGATTCGATGTGAGCTTCAGCTTCGTGCCAAGCACGACATGTCGGATTGATGCATGGCGTAAATTCATTGCAGAGTTGCGCACGGATATCCTTGCAGTCCTGTGAGCAGAGGTGGCCTTGCGGAGGATTGCACAGCGTTGCATCGACGATCGTGATTGTGTCACGTAGGCGCGCTTGGAAAAGGCGAGACTGGTCTACAGACCGCTGCGTGGGATCGCATAAATCGGCAAAGGGGTCCTCACTGAGCACCTGGCTATTTTCATCTGTCTCTGTCTCACTTAGTATTGTAGATTGAGAATCTTCGGCAACTATAACATCCAGCATCGCTTGGAATTTCGCTTTTGCCACATTCATTCCCCAAACTTCGTCTCCGGCCTCCAAATCGCGCTCCACTTGACGCAGTTGTAAGCCAATTGACGACGTTGCTGCCCCCATAGCGTTTTTCATAGTCTTCTCCGCAATTACCAGCCCATCATTAGCAGTAGCATTTTTCGACAACATAGTTACAGTATTCCCGCTCTTCTTCTCTGCTCCACTGATCACTATAACGTGGTCTGCTTGGCCGAGAGTTCTGACAGGCTTTTCACTGTTATCTGATTCTGTGGAGCTTTGATCCGAACATTCAAACGATTGTTTCCAGGGTGCTCGACCCGCTCGCTTCGAAGGCATTGCGGCTACTTTTGGTCGCTTTCTTGTCACCAAGCGTTTTCTCTTTCCCCATTCCCGAGGTCGTGAAGTTGTGCTGTTGCGTGTATGAGAGTTTGATGAAGCTGATGTATCTGAGATTGAAGCTCTTCCTTCCAAAATTGAAGAACTATGGGGGCATGTCTCCGCAGTATCAGCTTGAGCCCTAGCTGGTTTACAAGCCACAGGCAACGAAGCTCTAGATACGGATCGTTTATTGATGGAGTCGTCTACGCCTTCCGAAGAGCCCACATGCGCAGACAGCCGTTTTACCGGTGTAGTTTTTTGGTGCGCTGTTGGCATTGTTGGGAACCCACGTTGATGCGTCGGAGTCTTCGCCTTAACAGCTTGTGTGCTGTCCTTCAGCGCAGCTGTATGTTTAGCACGACAAGGTTCTCCGATCTGTGCGTTCGCAAGAGCACCCTTGCGTCTCTTTACGGGGTTTACTTTGGTGCTGTCACCTCTGAAAGTACTCATCACCTTCCCGCTCGCCAAACTCGAAGCAGAAGACTCGCTCACTCCATTCCGATCGACGGTAGATTTAAGAGATTTATCTTCCAATCCTTTGTGTGAATCTATTGCTGCTCTAGGAGGTTTGAGTGGTTCTTGTTCGCCACCACTAGTTTGTACGAACTTCCGTCTCACCCACATATTCTGGCTTACGACCGAGTTCAGTATATCCACCGAGGCATTGCTTTGGTACGCGAGGATCACGCAGTCCATTTGCTGCGCAAATTCCGGCGAGGTATCCATATTCCGGACGATATACTTCACCAACTGTCGGCAGCAATCGTAGTCCACTTCATTCCTCAGCGCTCCAACGGGTGTCGACAACGGTACTGAAGGCGGATGGTAGGCGGGCTTTAGCTCATCTATAAACGCATTGCAAACGTCATTCACCGCATCTCCCACATGCTTGCGCAGCGAGCGCTTTAGATCTGCTTTTAGCCGCGCTACCAACGTGTCTGTCATCGCCATAACCAATCCTCAGAATTGTGCCACAAATTTTGGAGATCAGCGAATAAAAGCCAATCAGAGCCCACATACTCAGGTGTAATTCGATAAAACACACCAGCTTATTCCCCCTTCGTCGAGAGAAAACCCAATGGCAAGCGAGACGCAGCCACCCAGCACTAGCGTTGGGCAGTTCACCGTGGCTGACGAATCGGGCCTACCCGCATCTTCGCCCGCGCCCGCCGTGCTCGAGCCACCGACCAAGAAACGCCGAGGAGCTGGGCGCAAACGAGACCCAGTGTGGGACTTCACTACCGTCTTCGAGGACAAGCGAGTGGTGTGCAACCGCTGCGGGGCGCTCATCCACCGCTACGGCGTCGCCAAGGTCGAGCGCGTTCGTGCACACTTCGAGCGCAAGTGTCCAGGCGTACACTCGCAGACGGCGACACCTCTACAGAGGGGAAATGAGGCGACAGGGACTACCAAGGCGGAGCAATCACTTGTGGGGACGGAGCTCAAGGAGCCCAGACTTTCGAGTGGGAACAGCTACGGCAATAAGAGCGGTGCCTTCAAGCGCAAGTTCGCCTACTGGTTGTATGCCACGGGACAATCATTTGAAGACGTTCAGAACGAGCTGCTGCTGAACGCTCTACGAATGCTACGGACTGATGCGACGCTGCCATCCAAGCACGAACTGGAGAACGAGTTGCTGAATCTCGAGTTCATCGCATCCAAGAGCAAGGTAACCAAGGCTCTGAGTGGGAAGAAATGTTGTCTTACAGTGGAGAACTGGGTGGGCACTGGAGGGTGTGGAGTGACCACGTACGGGGCCACGTGCGAAGGTGCGTCGTACTACCTCGATTCCAAGACTGCGGCGAGTCAGGAGAGCGGTGCGGAGTTGACGGCCGACGAGGTGGAAGCAGTGCTGACTAAGGAGAAGAAAGCAGACTTCTATGGCATTGTGACGCCCACGACGTCAGCTCTGTCCAAGCCCACGCGAGACAGGATCCAGAAGAAACACCCGCGATGCGCCTTCTTCCACGGCTGTGTGTGCAACGCGCTCACTTTGCTGCTTGATGACGTGAGCAGCATCCTGCCGTGGCTGAAGAAGTTGCAGATGTCCGTTGCTGATGTGATGGAGATGTTTCATGGGAACCTTAGGCTGCAAACACTGGTGTCAGCGCTAGCGTCTCCGTCGGAAACCATTCAAACTGTAGAGTTTCCGGATTCCAGCTCCACGTGCGCTTCGTTGGAGGATCTACTGAAGCACGAGAAGGTGCTGTACGCGATCGTTGCTCGTCGAGACTTTGTGGATGCTAGCGTGTCGACAGAGCAGGAGAAGCTGAAACGCGTGCAGGACTTCATCCTGGGCGAGACATTTGTGCAGGATCTGGCCAACGCGCTTGCTGTTCTGCGTCCTTTGCAGCAGCAGCTGAAGCATTTCCAGGAAGATCGCCCGCCGTTATCGCAAGTATTCCCCAATTTTGTAGAGCTCCTGACGATATACTCTTCGATGGAGTGGGTGAGCAAGAAGGAGAAGGCTCTGATTACTTCCTGCGTTACGGAGAGGTTCAATGCTATCTATGGCGACTCACACGGCGTGGCGTATACGCTGGATCCAGTGTATCTAGGTGAAGCTTTGGATGAACGGAAGAAGCAGGAGGTGGAAAGCTTCATCGTGCGCTTTTGCGAGCGTGAAGGCCATACTGTTGACATTTTGACGCAGCTGCAGATGTACAAGGCCATGGTGACTGAGCTGAAAGAAACCAATCTAGCATACTGGCAACTGCTGCATTCTGGTGCCGTGACGCCTCATGACTTTTGGGTGGAGCGTCGTGGCCAGTTCCCGTACTTGCATCAGTTGGCGATAGCGGTCTTTGGGTTACCAGCATCGAGTGCTTCTCCGTCCCCGTCGTTTGGAGTTCAGTGCTTTACTGTCCAATCACGCTTCAAGCGCATTTTGGAACCTGAGCAACTTCAGAAGCTCACTCACGTGTACTGCAACTCGAAAGGAGGTGCAAGTGATCCATTGATGTCTCTCGCTCAGAACATTTAGCTGAAGATCGTCGTTTATTGAAGGTATCTGCCTTGTACTGGACAGATCGTTGGATATTGACGATCAAAGAAGAAGGGAGCAAGCTAGTCGAAGCACAGAATTCAATACAGCAATACATAAACACTTACATAAAGTACCTTATCACTCATTCCTGTGACCTAATTCTCGCGTAATGACTCTGGAAGCTTGGCAATTCCTCTGCCTCGTCGTTTGAGAAATCAACTTTTAGGATGTTCAGGTCCATCTTAAAAGCTCGCTCTCTGTCTTTGTGAAGGAGAATAGCGTCTTCAAGTTTGGTACACTTGTTCTCCAATCTCTCAATTTTATTCTCGAGGTGACTTCGGGAACACTCGTCACCTTCACCAAGCAATGCGTTTTTGGTCGCTTGTAACTTCTTCTTTGTAGTTTCAAGCTTCATTTCATGTTGTTGAATGACATGCATCGTCTGGCGCAGGCCTACAGCATTCTTAAACTCACACTGAGAGTTTTGGCATCGCACTATGTGGGTGTCGATTTCACGCCACACACAACACATTCCGTTGTGGCATGGCGTGGAATTCCCACTTTGAGTGCGATGCGTCTCACACATTCGTGGTCGAATTCTCAGACATCCCTGAGTACACATCATTTCTGGAGGTGGACTACAGTTTTCCGCGTCTACCAGCTTTATTGCAGCTTTGAGGCGTGTCTTATAAAAAAGACATCGTTTTGACGGGTCGTCACTTGTGCATGGCCGCGAAGATCGTCCACCACTCCCGCCATTTTGTAATGGGATCGCAAGTACTCGTGGCACTGAACCTTGCCGTTCACTTCCTTCTAGCTCCGACTCAGTTTCCGTTTCTGAGTCTCTCGTACTCTCCGGTTCGCTGTCTTCTTCTTTCTCCTCGCAGTTGAATGTCCCAGTGCCATACAAGTTCCGTGCCACAGAGTAACAAGATCGCTTTGAATTTTGCGAAGCTGATTGCCCTCTCGGTAATTGCCGCTTACCACCGCGACTAACTATTGGCGGCGTTGAAACAGTTAAGTCGATGTGAGGGGAGCAGGTCTGCCGTACGCTGGCCGCGGTTGCATTGGCGACACCAAGTGGAGTACAGCAACCACAGCAGTGTCCGTCCTAAATGTGGGTTCTCGAAGTGCTGGGGTGCCAGGCCCATTGCCGTTGTAACGAGCGTACAAACTTCCAGTCAAGAACGAACTCAGATCCGGTTGGGAGTGGTTATTGTAACTGGATAGGATAACTGTCTCCATCTGCTCCACAAAATCCCCCGACGTGTTCATATGCGTTGCCATGTACGAGACTAGCTGCTTGCAACATTTCTGGTAGACTTCAACTGAGACCTCACCCCGCGACTGCTCCCGCTCGAAGTCGGCCAGCAAGCGCGTGGTTTTAGCCAGACTCTCACGCAGACGCCGCGCTACAGCAGGCGTTGCTCTTTGCACCTCTACCACACCACCGTCGGTCTTGAAGCGCGCCATCGCGATGTTTGCCACTGGCAAATTGCCACTTACAAAGTTTTCGGGAACGCGTAGGAAAATAACAAGACTTTTATAAATATCCACAAACATCAAAACAAATCCACGGCGACCTTTTTACAAAAGGAATATTAATAGAGCTGGAATAGACCCTTCCTACCAATTGATGAGTTACTGTGGCAAATAAGACAGTTCTGGAGTTTATAAATATAACTGTGTATTTAGCCAACCATCCACAAAATGATCAGTTACCCCTGCCCTGAATGGAGCACTTTCCAAATAATTTGAGATCAGTATTACTATCTGAAACCCAGTAAATTGATTGTCAACAGCTACTTTGCTAGATCAAATGGTCACCAACCAATCTGTTGGTTGGCAGACAGCGCTCTGACGGAAGCGTTGGGCAAATTTACGAAGTCTCATTCGGAAACTTACTGCAAATGGCTCGAAGTGCCACCCCCGTTCATGCTGCAGAGCTTCTGCGGCGTCTCGTCGAGGACAACGCCTTAGTCCACGACGATTTCGCCCAGAAGGCGGTGCTACAATGCTTCGTATGGCCCACCCCAAGAAAAGCCATGCAACGGCGAGTTGACGTCGGATGAGCTCGCTCGCAATGCTCAGGTCTCGTCGGAAAGAGTGCTAGTGGAGAACCTTTTCGGGCGAATGTGTGCCTCCTGTGTAGAATCGTGCTTCGCATTAATAAACCTCCACACTGACATCAACCTACTCCGGGCTGACGATGGTCGGCTCTACCGGTCCGTGATGGGCCAATACGCCTCGATGGCGGAGCAAGAGCACTCAAGACGTGCATCCATCCAGCGACGCTATCGTCGTCGCCGTGACGCACGCTTGGCTGCTGACCAAAACATTTGAACGAGGCTGTCGCTCTCGTCGTCGTTCTCACCGTCGTTCTCGTCAGCGAGCTCGCAGTCGGATTTTGAGGAGACTTAGTGAGACATTAAGCTTGGCAAAATAATTAGTGGCACAGTGTAATCGCAAATATACTGATGACTGAACAATACCTATCCATTAGAGCTCGCCATCGATGTTCAATATCTACTGCTAAAAAAACAAGCTAATCATAATAGACTCGATCTATTGCAAGCTAGAGCAGTGATTTAGTGAAATATCCACCACTTGGTTTTGTTACCTATTGGCCAAAACATTCTCAGAACTCTCTTTTAGAATTCACTCCAGATGGGGGTACGTCTTTCCAAGAGATCTTATCGAATTTAAGATTTCATAAAGCCTTCTCTTAGTTAATCATCTT